CTTGATTCTGATCAAGAAGAGTAACCTCTCCGATTCTCGGATAGGAATACTACATGGACGAGGAAAAACTTTCCTAAGAAACGGCAAGAAGAACACAATATCTGATACCATCTGATCCAGAGAAATCTTCTCACCTCCCTGGAATAAAAAATATCAAGCTTTTGGGCAAACACAGAGATTCTGTACAAAATAACCAAAATGTGACAAATGTGCTGTCAGACAAACCATAGGTAATTGTCAAGAAGCTGAAAACTAAAATATGTGAATGTTGAGAAGACCAACCTGCTAATTAAGGGAGATGTGTACACAATATACAAAAAAAATTAAGGGAAAATAATCAACCCAGAAAAGTCTTGTTTTGCCTCTATAACTGTGACAAGGGCAAATAGTCAAACAGATTCATGAAACAAAAGTTTCTGGATCCTGAAAAGCATTAGTTAATGCATCATTGCGATTACATACAGTATGTGCCACAAGTATAGAACGATTATGATCCCTAAATCGCGGAAGTTACCTCATGATTGAAGATCTTCTCGGCCAATATCACAACTATCGATTTGTTTGAAAAATTATTACTTAAATGACTAATGTCAATCTACAAAAACAACCTTATCATCTCGAATCATCACTTTGGGTTCAAATATCAACATTCTACAAGTTATTAGAAGAAAAGAAAATTTGCTCAACGATATTTCTATGTTCCGATATTCCGATATTCAAAAACCTTTGAATCTGCACACTATTTTAGGCTCAAATAAGATAATGCCTACTCTGACTTGAGAAAGATCCAAGCAGTTATGCCACAAGGTACCGTAAGATGGGGTTACTTGGACACGTTTTTTGCGCATTTTTCAAGATTAAAAGTGAAGAAATAAAGTTAGGACAACAGAAACTTGTTCAACCTAACCATCAGGATTATATGTATAGCTATCATAAAACATTGAAAATACACTAAACTTCGTTTTAGGAAATCTTTTACTTTGCATGTCAGATGGTCAAGTTCCCCTGAAAATGTAGCATTAAGGAATGTATTTTTATGTAAAAGACACATTTTTTATTGAATTAAACATTAAAAAATATAAAAGAATCGATGAAATCTGGACCTGGACTGTTGTTCTTGAAGACCTTCACCTGTTTCCCTTGTTTATCTAGGTATTTTTTCACCACATCTCGAATGTCGGCCTTTGTCAAGGGGAACCCCCAATTCATAACCTAACCTCGCGTTCGTGATACAGGACTCTTATGTTTCAGGTGTGGCGAAATAGAATGCGAGGTGCCTCAAGAAGAACGACATCGTGGTAAGATATGGTGCGATCAGCAAAATTCTAATTCAAAATAACTAAAGACAGATCCATTAGACGGAGCAGAAGTCTATCGGCTACCATACTGTTGCGGAAGGTATTACGTTGGCCAAACTGGACTTAACATCGAATGCCGCATCAAGGAATATGTAAGGGATGTCCGATTGAATAAGAGCCAGCAGTTAGCAGTGAATAGGGACACACACTATAGATTGCGAGAAGACCAAGGTACTAACAAGAACCAATATGATTCTAAAGGATGACAAGAGAAGCTAAAGGATGATAGAGATTCATCAACATAGGAGCATGAATAGAGAAGGCGGCTGGGAATTGCTTGCGATATATACATTGCTTTGTTTTGTATATATTTATATTTTTTTCTCTTGAAGCTGCTTTATCTGTTTTATACTTTCTTTTATTACTTGTAAAACATTTGAAAGCTCAATAAATGTTATTATTATTAAACATATGTTTTGCTAAGTCCTTGTATTCTGCTTGGTTTTAGTGGGAATTGAAAACATTTTAGAAATGGAATTGATTTTGCTACACTTTTCTAAAGCGTTTGATTCCTTAATAGTCAACATAAAGAAGCTTGTGATGGTGAGTTAGAAACTTGTTAGTCAATTCCTTACTTAATCTATACCTCCCAGATATGTATAATTTTGAGATAATGTACTGCACACATATACCTTGATGACATTAGGCTATAACACATGTTGCTGTCACCTGATATTATTGCTGCTTAAAGCAACTTTAACGCGGACTTACAATAATCTTCGATAGTCTTGCAATAACTTGGAATCTGATTCTTTTATTCTTTCATTCTTCAATTATGGTCTTTATATTGATAACAACAAAAGATCTAAAAAATTCAAAATAAATTTTGAGATAATTTCTTGTAACATGGCAACTAAAACTAAATTTAGGTTATAATGTGTGCTTAGGTCATAACCCAGATGTTTTTAGTAAACCACAATAATAATTAAATTAAAAATAGTGTAACCTCATTCATAATTCATATATATTTTATATAAATTCGGGTATCAGGTGAATACCATCGTTTACAAGACCTCATAACAAAATCCCTTTATCGTTACAACCCATTACAAAACACTCCCTTCAAACCCCACTTTTCCCGGCTGTTGTTCTAACCCATTCCTAACTCCTGTTTTAGTCTACGTGTCCGCATATTCGCTTAACGAGGCGAATTTAAATTACTTTGGAGTACCATTAGCGAGAGTCTAGACTTGTGAGTCTTGAAGGAGACGAAGCGTGGGAGTGTTGTTGCATTTTGAATTTCCTGGGCGATTGCGCAATCGTAATTCAACAGCAAGGCTCTATGACCGCAGTCTTTTTTGACTGAAAATAATCGCGTTAAGTTGGGATCTATCTCTCTACGGAACTAAGTGACAGCTCGACGCGAACGCCTGACAACGGCACCCTCTGGACGACGCTGACATCGCCTAATTGGCTCACGACTTGACGTTGCTAATTCTGAACGGAATTAACAATAACAATAGGTAGAGATATAAACCAAAAATGTTGAAGTAAATTTGATTCAAATTTGAGTCAATTAATATCTAAGAATAATTTGTAGTTTGGGTTTTGGGAAAGTTGAACAATTACACTTAAAACTGGGTTGAAAAGGGGGGTTGATAAAGGGTGGGCGTAGAGGTGAAGGGGTGTACATTTCAGTGTGTCGTGGCCCGCGGCTGACGTGACGTAACCAGGCGCGAATTTCCCGAAATTAATTTTCAATCCACCCTTAAAATATTCAAAAGGCAAACTTAGCGTATCCGGCTGCGGCGTTCTGTAAGCAATTTGCCAATCGACATCGTATTGTGGACTGACTCGGGGCTTGGGCTTTGTAATATGTGTGTGCATTTAGATCCAGATCCGTACTCAAAATATTATTCAATTGAATATTATTATCGAAAACTCCACTACAGGAGGGACCTATATTAAATTTCAGAGTTAAATAAAAGGGTTTTTTTAAAAATACATCTGCAAAAGGTAATGTTATGATTTAGTTTTACGATCAAAAACCTTTGTAAAATCGATACCATCCGAAGTATTCATTTTATATATTAAATATTCACCGAGGGATCATTTATAACTGAAATCTTGCAACCCAAATTGGGCAATTATTTTAATTTTATCGATTTCCATCGCAATTATGTTTCAAATTAATAATTAATATCAGGATTAAAACGTTACGATTCACTTTTACCAACCCCTTTGTTAACCATATAAACCAACCTAAACTCCTACTACTAAATCAGTCCGTTCCTGCGTTATAACGTGTTTAAGGTTAACACAAGGGTGGTCCGGAATCGAATTAACAATTAATTCCTAATTGGCACACTACCAAATCCAAAATCAGGCGCCAAACTGTGCGAGAGAGCCACGCAACAAGCCCAGGTAACTTCCCCGCTTGACTGACTGCGCGTTAAACATTAAACATTAACCACATAATATACGCAGTTTAACAATTAACCGTGACCATTTCAATGTTTCAGAACGGCCAGACGTTCCGTCACGTCAATGATTTAGGATCGCTTTTATCGAGTTGCAGGAGTGATTTCACCCGCGGGGAGGTTAGATTCGCGACGCAAAATGCCCCCCGCGTCGAAACCCGAAATCCGAGCAACGCACACTCGGGCCTAATGCTCATCATTATTGCAACGTTCGGACTCGAAGCTTAAATCGACTGGCGTTTGGCCTACCTGGTTTATTAATTTCTGGATTTCAACGGCTCAATAATTATTTTCTTTTTTATTACTTGATACAAAAATAATAAGTTAAATATATCTAAACTTAACGTGAAAAAAAGTTGCACCCATTAGCTAATGACTTAATTAATAGCTAAATTAATTCTAAAACATGCTTAATTAAATCCAGGTCCTAATCAAATACGCCTTAACAATATACTGGTACTGATTCCCCACCAAAACGGATGTGGTCTAAAAAAGTCGTTCAAATTTCCCATGTTTCATCCGAACTCGCAAAATAAAACCCCAACAGCCCTAACGGCAGCGTCCGCCCCGGCTCAGCCCCTAAATCAAACACTATTAAAATTAACGTGGTCGTGAACGCGCGGACTCACTTTTTTTGTGTTGCTCGCGCTCCGTTCTCTCTCTTAGTTTTATTTTTTTTTGGGAGCGCGCCCCGGTGGCGTACGATCGCCGGAGGCAACCTTGTGTCGTTCGTGGCCGATCTCTCGCGGGGTATTCGTTCACTGATTAAGCCAGGCCTCGAAATTGCTCGAGGCTCTGTTTATTATTAGTACAGTTAACGCACCCAACTCACTGTTTGCTAATCACAGATGCTATGTAGTTGATCAACTAAAACCAAGATAAACTAAGAAATAGATTAAGTAAAAACTAGAGTAACTAAATTAACTAATACAATAAAAGCTCCATATAACGGAATTCGGATATAACGAACAAAATATTTTTAAGTCTATAGTATATTTAAATACAGTAGAACACCGATTTTCCGTACTCCACAGCACAGAATAAAAACAGAACTTTACTAACATAACTTATTGTTAGAACATATTGTACTGACTTTTCAAGTTTAGTCGGAAAATGCCCCCTCTTACTGGACATTACTAAGTTTTAATAATAAATTGATTTTTATTAAATTGAAAAGTTTGAATATTCAAATATAATTGTCGAATAATATCTCAGGGTCAAAAGCAGGTTCTGACAACACTGTCCAGACGGTCCAGACAAACTTAAGGTGAAATGTTGTCGACAAAATTAACAGAATTTACTGAACATAAGAAACAAATTCTCTAGATTAGTTGATACGAAGCAATATTTATCAACTCGAATATTGATTGTTATGGTTTTTAAAACTCGTGAAAAATTAAATTAATTAGAGAAATAATCTAACCTCGAAATTTTATAGTGAACTTATCAAGAAAACTTTTCATATTGAAGGTAAGACGAGTTCTTTTAAAAATTTTTAAATCAACAAAACAATAAATTATTAAAAAAAAAATAACTTAGCCAGTTTGTTTTTATGAAAACTTCGGAGGTCAAACTCAGGATAATATTTTCTTCGTGACAGGAACAGTTGGATTCAGGATTGGGACCCAATCTTTCTCTTCACCGGAAGAGTGATTTAGCCAGGAACGGAACCAATTGATTTCTTCGATGTTTGTGAACAGGAACGGATTTTCCAAATACGGGACTAAATTAGTTTCTTCGATAGGAACAGGATCGATTGTTTTCTTCAGTGGTAGGACAGGAACGGATATCTTTTTTTTTACACTCGTTAAACGTTGATTTAATCTATTTTTTTGGAGAGCAAAAAAAATGCGTGTGTTTCTTCACATAACAGAAACCACCATTGTTGTTGATAAATTCCGTTTTTCAAATGTTAAATTTTCAAATAACGTCTCCTGATTGGTTAAATTCATCGGTTTGAAATTTGTACGTTAGTTTTTCCAATGTTACCAACTTTGACATTTGAAATATCTCTAATTCAATTTGCCAAATTATTATTTAAAAAATTTTAAATTATTTATAATTATGCATGATATTTCGTAATTTTGATGCTCTTTTAAATCACTTTTCAAATATCTATTCATTTTCTTCTGATTTCAACGATAAATTTTCCAATATGTTCAAATTAATTTTGTAAATTTTCATCTAAATTTCGTTATTCCATACAAATATTGATTATTTTCTTTGTCAACTAAGTTAAGGTTATCGTTTTCAATAGGTTTGAACCAGGTAGATAAAGATTTAAATAAATAATTTTGAAAAATTTAAATTGAGGTTATCTGATCGATAATTTTTAAAATTACTTCGTATCGACTTTACAAGTGATATCTTAGGATTAGAACATTAAAGAACAATAAAATGTATCGAAATTCACTAGTGTAGAGTATCTAACATTATTTTACAATTGTTCATAAACTCTTCTACGATCAATACAACAATCAAATATGACCAAATTATCTGTAATCGGTTATGATTACAATATTTATGTATACAGTCTGTCATTTTGGTATGAGTTGCATTGCATTGCACATTTCGCAGCTTCTTCAGCTTCCCGGTTCGTTACTCGCTTGACTAATATCATGTTATCAATTTCTTCGTCTCCACTCTGACTTTCGGATGAATAAGGCTGAGTTGTACTAGGTTGACCCAAAATCTCCTTCAACTATATCGTCATTGTTTTAGTTGTTTCTTCCTCACCAGATGCTAAGACAATGCTTTCATCTTCCTCCAGTGTCATGATATTGTAAAAAGCTTTTTAATACTCGTATCTTTCAGTGCACTCCAAGCATTTGCCACTTTGAAAATTTGATCAAAATTTCATCAGGTCAACTGCATCCAACAAATTCATCGTTAATTCTTTCCGGTAAATGCGTTTCATTGTCTCAATGACACCCTGATCCATTGGTTATGCAATTGATGTAACATTAGGTGGAAAGAAAAGAACAAAGAAATTTCCATCGGCAGACCTTAGAATTGCTTCATTGGGTGAGAGCGAGAATTGTCCAGAAGAAGAAGGGCCTTTTGAGGCAACTTTTCCTTCTTCAAATACTACTTTACTTCGAGAATAAACTTCTTATGAAACCAACCTTAGAATATGCCACAAGTTATTCAAGCAGCTTCTTAGTTGTAGTAATGAACTGGGAGAGTGTATATTCATATTTTTAAAAGCACGTGAGTTTTTTGACTCCTATCACAGTCAGTTTCAGTTTATAGGCACCAGACGCATTGGCACAACACATCACTGGTATACGGTCTTTACTTTTTTTATATCCTGGTGCCACATTAGTTGCAGCCAGCAGTTTAGTAAGCATTGCCCGCCAGTATAGCCCAGTTTTGATCTAAACTAATACCACTCATACGCAACAACTAAGTCGGTACAACTAGAGAGCCCAACCTCATACACCCATAAAAATAATTTACATCTTCATAGCAGTTTCCAGTTTCCAGCGATCGATTAGAAATTAAAAAAAATTAATGAAAATTTTATGGCACGGATAATCCGCAGCCTGGATAATCCGCGCAGGGATAATCGGGGTTCTACTGTATAAATATTAGCGCTCATAAATAGAAACTAACACTAGCATTACAAGTAATGCTAGTGAAAACGCAAATTTTATTTATTGTACTATAAAACTTGAAACGAACAAAGTAACAAAAGCTATGCTGACACCATCCATAGGGTATATGGATACTTCATCATCGGAATCGTTATATTCTTGTTCAACTATATCATCATCATTTCTACTTTCACCTTCCACTTTCCCATTTTCTACATTTTCAGTTGTATTTTTGGCCATATATTAAACATCTGTTATGGCTAAATTTATATCATGAGCCAAGCATAACTGATGTGAGCTAAGTATGTCTTCATTTATTTTGAAACCAAAAGTTGCTAACTGTTCTTCAACTAATGATAAACATTTTTCGGCTGGTACTGAACCAATTATACGTCCTAACCTGATATTCTTAAATAATCCTTCACTAGAGTCCACATTAATATTAATGTATCGACGGTTACGAAGTGAAGTTCACTCATCGAATGTTATACTGAATCATGTACCTTTAGACTTTAAACTACATATTTCAGAAGTTATTTTATCTTTAATTTTCTCAGAGTGGACGTGAACCGCATTCCATATTGTGGTTGAAGTTTTTGGAATGTTTGCGAATCCTCTTGCTCGTAAACCTTCTCTCATGTCTTGAGAGATAATAAAGATAAGAAATGAGTTTTTGAAATAGGTGGTAATCACTTTTGATTTCTTGGAAATAATTTGACTATCAGTGTCGCTGGTAGTGGGTTCACATCTTTTCTTCACTTCAATTGTTTTCAAATGGGTATGAAAACCACTAGTTGGACCACCAATACACTTTATTTCCCTCAAACATTTTTTTACATTCAGCAATCTGTCCATTGACCTCTCTTAAGAAATGATACCCCATGTTTCATCAACCCCATGTTTCTATGATCGATAAATCGTTTTTTATCCATAACCAGCTAATTAAAATAATTTAAATAATAAAATATTATTTATTGTAACTTTACTTACTTTATGAGTTGCAAGCACTACCACTACCCCAGAAACCCTCTAGCGCTTTATCCACTAGTAATTCATCAATATCTGCAGAATCGTAGTATCATCAAATCCTTCTCTGCCTAGTTAATGACCTAACGCTGTTATGTTAGAATATTAAACCGTATTGGAAGGCACATGATCTTTATTTTTTACACATTCTAACCAAAGAGATCTCCAACATGCGTTCNTAATTTTTAAAATTACTTCGTATCGACTTTACAAGTGATATCTTAGGATTAGAACATTAAAGAACAATAAAATGTATCGAAATTCACTAGTGTAGAGTAGCTAACATTATTTTACAATTGTTCATAAACTCCTCTACGATCAATACGACAATCAAATATGACCAAATTATCTGTAATCGGTTATGATTACAATATTTATGTATTCTACGTAAGTTATTCTTTCCAAAAAAGTCTGTCATTTTGGTATGAGTTGCATTGCATTGCGCATTTCTCAGCTTCTTCAGCTTCCCGGCTCGTTACTCGCTTAGGGTATATGGATACTTCATCATCGGAATCGTTATATTCTTGTTCAACTATATCATCATCATTTCTACTTTCTCCTTCCACTTTCCCATTTTCTACATTTTCATTAGTATTTTTGGCCATATATTAAACATCTGCTATGGATAAATTTAATGAACCAATTATACGTACTAACCCGATATTCCTAAAAAATCCTTCACTAGAGTCCACATTAATATTTATGTATCGAAGTCTTCTCAACGAATGTTATGCTGAATAATGTACCTTTAGACTCTAAACTACATATTTCAGAAGTTATTTTATCTTTAATTTTCTCAGAGTGGAGGTGAACCACATTCCATATTATGGTTGAAGTTTTTGGATTATCTGCAAATCCTCTTGTTAGTAAACCTTCTCTAATGTCTTGAGAGATAATAAAGATATGAATGGCAAGCCATCTTGAGCAGTCATACGGGCCAGTACTTTTGAAAATTCATCATTTTTCATGTTTTATTTCAAAAACAGCTGGTAATCAATTTTGATTTCTTGGAAATAATTTGACTATCAGTGTCGCTGGTAGTGGGTTCATATATTTTCTTCACATTAGTGTGATCATTATTTCCCTCGAACATTTTTTTGCATTCAGCAATCTGTCCATTGACCTCTATTAGAAAATAACACTACACCGATGTTTCATCGACCCTATGCTTCTATGATTGATAAATCGTTTTTTATCCATAACCAGCTAATTAAAATAATTTAAATATTATTTATTGTAACTTTACTTACTTTATGAGTTGCAAGCACTACCACTACCCCAGAAACCCTCTAGCGCTTTATCCACTAATAATTCATCAATATCTGCAGAATCGTAGTATCATCAAATCCTTCTCTGCCTAGTTAATGACCTAACGCTGTTATGTTAGAATATTAAACCGTATTGGAAGGCACATGATCTTTATTTTTTACACATTCTAACCAAAGAGATCTCCAACATGCGTTCCAGCATTTTTGATGCATCATTTAGAAAATTTCTTTCATACATCAATAATTGTTGAATTTTTATCATTCATTAATTGATCCAAAATGTATCGAAATGTTTGCTTTACATAATACTTTACTTAATAATGGTTGTATCAACAAAACCTTAAATTCAACGCCTTTATCGTTCATATAGAGCCGAACCAAAGCTTTTTTATTAGATGTCCAGTAAACTGGTAAAGTGTCTGAATTTACATCTTTCATGAACCGTGGTTTTAGCTACGTATGATCTACTTGGCATATATTTCCATAAAATACCTATTTTATCCGCATCAAATACTTAATCCACATTTTCAATTATTTTAGCTAATTTTGCAGAAAATTTTTTAGCTACCAGATCATCTGCAGATCCAATTTCATCCTTAATCTTTATAGAATGTCTTATAGGTGTCTTTTTAAAAAACACCTGTATTTGTAGAAAATTCAAGTTTGGTTCTTTTCTGGGCTGACGTTTATCGTTCTATTTCTTTAATCTGGTTGTAGATTCTTAATGCCATCTGCTTGATAGTATTTGCGTCAACTTATATTCGTTTTTGAGACATATCCTCCATCCATATTACCAAAGCTTTTTCCATTTCCAGCTTTACAACGTCTCTTGAGTATGATGCTGTATTATAACTTAATTTTGTTCCAGCAATAAGACATTTTCTAATCACTGTCTCCACTAGCTAGACTATCCAAAATATTTATATAAATCATCGTTTATCGTTTAGGACAATTTGTATTAAATAAATTTTAATATATACTCACCTTAAACATTAAAACGAAACTGCAGGGATATATCGAGATTTTACTGTATTAAGAATTCCATTTCTTTTCTAGATTATACACCTCTCCTTAGAAGTCCCCGTGGAGAATATGTGGATATCTTTTTTTTTTCTTACTTTTGTGACTTGATTCCCAGTGGAAAATCTGTCAAGACGTGCTCAAAAGTACTCAAAACGTACTCAAAAGCGGTCGACCGGCGAAAATATAAGTAGATCTCGGGTCCATTTGGCAAAGAGAGAAACGTTGACGGAGGCGGCAAAAACGAAAGCTAAAGCAAAAGAGGGCTCCCCGTAATCGGAGACTTGGGGGCTTGCTTCCGGAGAGCGTTCGGGGAGATGGGGTGGTTCAAGGCGACGGCAGCGGCCTGAAGGTGAATAATGCAAGCGGTCGCATCGGTATTCGGACGGAGGAGAAGAAGAACCGGCTGGAGGCCATGCATATTGCATGCCATCTTTCGGCTTTCGCTCACTCGTCGAGTTAAACTTCTTAATAGGCGCTTCATCGCCTCTTTAACTTTCGAATAGAACCAATCTAAACCTTTAAACATCTATTTTTCTTTTTTCTTTCTTAATTTTCTTTTTTGTTGCGGTTTCATCGACATCATAGTGTTCATCTAGATACACAAATATTAAAAAAATTACAATAATATATTATTTAAGTAGAATACCATCGTGTTTTAGTAAATATATTTACCCTCTTATGGGTAATTTCAATTCTCCTACTGTGTGGCCATAACGCGTCTCCATTGTGTTGGTGCACACGTTCGGGATGGGTAGGGGAGCGGGGAAAAAGAATTCTTCCGAGGGCGGTAGTAAAGAAAGATGGTTTACGAGTGGCGCGGACCGAGGCGTAATGTTCTCCTTTAATAAGCGAAACCGGCTCGAGTAATAACTTAAGCGGGCGCGTGGCCCCTTTACGGCCGACTTCTTCGCGCCTCAGACTCCACCAACACCGTCGACGTCAGTGAACAATGCCCTGCTTTTAATGCCCATAACTTTACGAATGGATAAGGGCCGTGCCCCAACCGAATTGCCCCATAAAATACTATGCTTTTTCTTTTTCCTCTATCCATTCTATTTTTCTTTTGCATCCCTTCAGAATCATTACATTCAACCTGTTGTTATATTCTAATAATCCATGTAGGTTAAGATTAAATAAGTGCTTAAGTAAAGGTAATAGTCACGTGAATCACGTAAAGTCCTATTAGCGTCGTTTTGTGGTAAATAACGACGTTATTAAGGAAAGAATCGGTAGAATCAATCTTGTTAATAAGAAGTAGAGCCCAGAAGAAACCAATTTGTTAACTAAGACACCCTAAGAGACGTATTTCTTTATTAAAACGTTCAAGTGTAACTCGACCGAAAGTGTTGGTTTGGGTATCTCGAGGGTGTTTTGTACGAAATTTAAACGCGTCCACAGATAAATTTTAAATTTCCGCGGACGTGCCTTTTGCAGATGGCGATCTGCGGGGCACCACATCAAAAATTTAAGCGCTCGGAGGCGTCCCGAGCCTCCCGATTGCCCTGATATACGACTTTTCGATATGAGTTATGGGCCTCAGGCGGCCGAAGGCGACGACTTGCCAAAGATCGACATCAAATATGCAACTTGAACCATGTATGTATGTATGTACGGACGAATTTCGAATAGGAAGATCTCTAACCAGCAATCCCAAAAGATGTCTCAAAACCATTTCAAATTCGGATTCAAAATGTATTTTCTTTGTTAATTAATTAACGAATATCTTCGATCGGTTTATAAATCTAGGTTGACATGCACTTTAGTGAAGATGTTAAGATTTCGAGTGTAGAAGCTGTCGCAGTACAGTGACGGATTCCTAATCACTCTGTTTCGGTTGTCTAGGTGTCAGATATCCTAGCGGGTTACGTTTTGGCATCGGGCGGCCCTACTCTTGAATAAAAGAGTAGCCGGTTGCCGGGTGTTAAAAGCCGTTCCCGTCAATTATTAACCTTGGTTGCTTGACCCGCGATGCCGCCCGATTGAGCCACCCCCGAAGCCGCTCAAATATTTAATTGGTGCGCCACTCAACCGGGCTCTGATTTGCCCTGTCAAAAAGTCCTTCGAGGAAACAACCACTACCTTACCCACATCGAATTAGTTACATCACAAATCTATTCAAATGTAAAATTAAAATATTTATATTATATATAATTAAAATCAAATATGCAAAATAAAATTAAATACATTCTTCACTTACAGCGTGATAATTATTGGAGTAATCCAAAATTATTATCAAAATATTTCAAATAACTTTCTTTTCCAAAATTTTTTCGATTCTCATTGCGGCATCTTTTAAAAAAGATTCACATCCTTAATTAAAGTCGATATTACAGGAATCGAATATTCTTATTTACACACATTTTCATTTATAGATGGCGATAAAATCTTCAGTCCTTTAAAACAATAATAATAATTAACATTAAAAATGAGTAACGGCGGATCTTTTAATTTCAAGGATTTCAAAGGGACTTTCAAATGTGTACAGATGCGACTACTTTTGTCCTAACATTTAATTAACTAGTTTATTAAATGAATAATTTACATGCAGAAAATGTATACATAACTATGTATTAATAGATTCGCAACGTATTTTGCGCAGATAAACCTTTTTTATCATAAATATATTCGTATATTATAGATAATCAAATGAATAATATCTGAAATTTAAGTAGCATGTTTAGAAATTAATCGAGCACATAATAAATGTCTCTTTTCGTATTTTCGCGTTGTTTCTGTAACATCGATAAATTCATCGCCTTCACATAAAGATTCTGCTGCAGTCTTAGCTTCTTCCAAACCACCTAAAACATCACGAAAGTATTACTAAAGACCAGAATTACATATTAATTTTTTAAATTAATAAATACTAAAATTAGCAACATTAATTAAGTTGTAACATTTCGCATTCATAATATTGGTATATCATAACATAAGGTCGTGAATGTGGAGTACTTAATATCAATGTGTGGAAAAAAAAAAAAGAACACATCATAACTGAATTTAAGCATAATAAGTAATATAATATTAACTTTTAATATTTGGTTTGATAATTATTGGATTTCTTGTCCACACTTAATCTCCTTGGCATGGATTTTACAAGATTTTTTGATATATATAGAGAGATTTACGGCGATTTTTCCCTTAAGGTTTTTTTGGATCCTCTTGGGTTTAAATGGTCCTTGGTATGCCCATTCTGTAACGGTGTTTCCACATACTCTATAAGATTAAGATCTGGGAAATGCGATGAATGATACACAGGTTATCCCCCTATAACTTTGTGTAAATTCTTTTTCGTATTTGTAAACCGGAAACTCCAGGGATGTTGCAGCAGTTGTTCTAGATGTCGTCTAGAACTAACGTACATAGAAATCTATAGGGCGGCAAACAACATTGCGGGAGAGCCACGGAAATGTAGTTGGTGCAGTTCGACAAAATTAAAATAATGAAAACTATACGACTCGATGATGAGATGTTATTGCCAAAAGAGTGCAGGAAATTAGCTTAGTGGAGAAGTTAATACCAGTTAATACTGACAACTAAATGCATTCAGGTATTATATGTTTAAATTGAGAACACAAGTANTGATGAGATGTTATTGCCAAAAGAGTGCAGGAAATTAACTTAGTGGAGAAGTTAATACTAGTTAATACTGACAACTAAATGCATTCAGGTATTATATGTCTAAATTGAGAACAGAAGTACAGACACGCTATATATATAGATATAATCTATAATATAATCTAATATATATAGATATAATATCGCATCCATATAATGGATGCGATATAATTGTATCAGTTAGTACGAAACGCTGGAAAAAAAAAGTGTTTGAAGTTGTCGAAATGCAAAGTGAAGATTTTTATGAATTTTCATCTTTATTAAAAGGCCCCTTTGCCCAGTTGCTTCTAAAATTACAACAACTGAAGAAAAATTTGTATGGAAAGAAACTAAATGGCTTCGATTCCAGCAATTTGATTCCAAGAAAATTTACATCACGAAATCTCTGAATGATACATCTTTTCAAATAGTGAATTTTGAACGTCGAACTTGTACAGAAAAAAAATTTAAATTAATACCTTGTTATAAAGGACTAATACCTATAAGCCAAAGTAAAAAAAAAAGATTTACTTTCTCTCTTGCCCTTTATCCATACACAATTTCATGATTTTTGCAAAAACTTACCAATTGATAATGTGCCAAATATTGATCCAGATATCGAAGAAAGTGAGAATGAGGATGTAGATTTATAAAATATCTATGCAATATTTTAATTAAATAACATTACTTTTGACGTTTTTGTTAACAACAAATTTATTTGAATTTTTTTATTGTATAACATAATATAAGATATATTAATAACAGCAATCGGCTATTTTTTCAATATCTTGCATTTATTGACAAAGAAGTCATATGTATTATAATTTGTTCGACCAAAAGTCGTAAGTCAATCAAAATTCAAAAAGTGTTGGGTCAAAATTATTTATATTTTAATACTTACTTTTATATATTTTCCTTAGAAATGTTATAAAGTCAAATATTTGATAACAATCTCTTAAAGCAAAAAAATATATAATTCAATTCTTACAATTTTTTAAATGAATTAAAAATTAAAAAAATAGTCGTTGTACAAGATTCTGAAGTAAAACTTACATCTTATAGCTTTAAAATCCAATTTGTTCAACTTCTGAACATTATTGATTATCGTCACCGACTAAATTTTACAAATGAAATGCTTCAACGTCACCCAACGTTCGAAAACTGACGCTACTGGGCCAACGAAAATTCAAGACAGAAACATGAACGATCATTACATAGTCAAAAAGTTATTGTGTTGCCATGTCTGATGAAGGCATCATTGGACCTTATTGTTTTGAACCCCAGCGAGGACGAGCACTTACGGTAAACTGGGAACGGTATTGCGACACGCTAAGAAACTTTTTGGTTCCACATCTGCAGGAGTTTTAAGGTTTCGATTTGGACACATGATTAAACAAGATGGAGCCACTTACGACCATTCAAACCAATCACTTGAGGATGTCAGTCAACATTTCCTGGGAAATGTAACATCTCATCTTCTTATACCTCCAATTAAAGCACAATATCCGCACTGAAATGGCTAATTTACGTGTTCGGTTTGAGGAGTGCTAGCAGTGCCAGATTCAACATTTGTACAACATAATCTTTGCACTCATTTGGCTCTTTGTTATTGAATTTATAAAACCCTTTCTGAGATTTCTGGTTACTAAGGTGTAGGTGCATGCTTGATACATCAGGTTTATTGCAATTCAATATGAACCAACATAGAGACTTAGTCGGATATGGATCAGATTCAAGAAAACAAAAGGTTAAACATGATGGCAAAACGTTACCTTCCAAGTTAATACTGACAACTAAATGCATTCAGGTATTATATGTTTAAATTGAGAACACAAGTACAGATACGCTTTTTGAGATGAAGTGGATAACAAATAGAACTCAAGGACAAAGTACGAGGAGCTTACTGAAGATTACTCATTAATGTAACCTGATACAACCCATCACTAATAAGTAAACTAATAGCATATAAAACGCACCATCCCCCGTTCCTTAACATCAAACCAGCGGCGAACGGGGATGTATTTTTTAATCTGCTTTTGTTGAGTACAAGTACAGAACCCACAGCAACTACATAGATCAGTATGAAAATGTTTTGTATACAGGACAGCAACGAAGTGTTAATTAATGAAAGTTAACGAGGAAGTTTATCCAGTACTGTCATATCCAAAGGTGTAGACATATTCGCAGATACAAGTGTCCAGAAAGGGTGTCTGTGCTGCCCATGTAACAAGCGCAGAAATTGAAAATCCGTCTCAATCAATTCGGAAGCGCAGTCAAGAATTCGAATTTGAATTCTCCTTGTTAATATTTTTGTCTGAGAAAAAGGGTATAAGTCTATTTTAGGAGAGACCCGGATTTTTGTCCTTGGGAATATGAGACAAATGAAAAAGCGGAATATGAGACAAGAGAAGATAATATAATTGAAAATGCTTCAAATAAAATTATTGAAGGAATTGAATTATTGAACAATCTACAGCAAGTGTTGCAAGAAACTATGCAAGAAAATTAAAAGAAGATAGAAAAACGTGCAGAAATACAGGAAAAGAATACACAACAATGTCCGGAACCATAGTCAATGAAAGAAAAAGTAAACCTTTAGGTAACTGTAGAAATAAGTGCAACGAAAAAATTAACAGTATCTAATGAACGAGAAAAGCTGTTTAAAGATTAAACTAAGATTAGAACTAAAACTAGAACTAACACTAGAAACTTTCGGGTTTTGCCATGCGTCTTTTAATAAAAGGTTTGACGTTTCGGATGCCATGTTGCAACCTTCTTCAGAAACTGGTTCGAAGTCTCTGCTTAATCATAAAAATCAGAAAAATTATTACCAAACGTTCATCTTGGATAAAAAATGTTGTATTGCCCCAGTAGTCTTAGATGTCCAGACATTCAAATTGACGTTTGCATCCCAATCTATTGTTAAGAGGAACATTATAATGAGAGTAGTGATCAGATCATAGATGTATTAACCTAATTAACGAATGCTTTTTTAAACCGAGCCTTATACAAGAATCCATGGTATTAAAGTAATAACCACATGCTTGATACATCAGATTTACTGCAATTCAATATGAACCAACATAGAGACTTAGTTGGTTATGGGTCAGATTCAAGAAAGAAAAGGTTAAACATGATGGTAAAACTTTACTTTGCAATACNAAAAGGTTAAACATGATGGCAAAACGTTACCTTCCAATACATTTTAATAATCCTACTTCAAAAACTATTTCATACTTTACAGATTGCAATAGATACCATTTGGTGCTTTTATTTCTGATATGTAGAACGTCTGCAATGTTGTTTAGAATTTTGACATGAATTGAAAGGTGTTCCATTAAAGAAAACTTAACTTTGTTTCGTCATCACTTTTTAACTGACCCTGTATACTTAATTTGTTTTTATTGTAACGGATTTTAAAAAACCAAGGCTTTTAAAAGGCTTTTCCAGCTATCTTACTTTAGGAGATAACCGACCGTTTTCATATGTATGAAGCGATCATATTCAGGGTAATTCAAATTCTACCCCCACCATTGGCATCTCAGAAACCATAAGAGATACAGAAATGGTTGAGCTCATCATTTTTCAACAAAGGTTTTGGATGTAGCCGTTTTCGTTTTTAAAATATGGCCGAAAAACAAAAAAATTACTTTTTCGCTTTCATGAATATGAAAAAACATTCCTAAGGCAACTTTTTATGAAAAATGTCATGACACAACTAAAAATTAAATGGAAATCTTAGGGCACAAGTTGCAGCCTCCTAATAAGATATTCGTTTTTTTTTTTTGAATAATTCAATGTTTTTTTAAATGAAATACATGTTAATTTAATGTGTGACATATCATTGAAATCAGAATTAATTATCCTATTTTTTGGTGTCAAAATCAAACGTGGCGTTGATAAGAAAAAATAAACCTGATGATAGTTTCACGAAAACGAAACGTTGCAGAAAATTTCTAGTTGTGTCATGACATTTTTCATAAAAAGTTGCCTTAAGAATGTTTTTTCAGATTCACAAAAAAACGAAAAATAAAGAAGTTATAGGCAAAAAACGAAAAAGTAATTTTTTTGTTTTTCGGCCATATTTTAAAAACTAAAACGGCTAGATCCAAAAACTTAGTTGCAAAATGATGAGCTGTAAGATACGCAACTTTGCCCCGATTTAACCATTTCTGTATCTCTTTTGGTTTCAGAGATCCCAATGGTGGGGTCAAATTGAATTACCTCTATATCATTATATCACATAAAAAGTTGTAATAACTGAGATAAATTCAAAACTTTCTTACCTATAACATTAATAACAACGTCTTTACCATCATTATTAACACCCATAATTTTCCCAATAATATAATTAGTCATATCAGGAATAAGAAAATCTCCTAATTTTAATAACTACAAAAAAAAACAAGTAATAATTTAAATTTATTAACTTAATCCAAATTTGTTTACCTTAAATGCAATAACATTTCCTTCTTGTAAACTTTCCTCTTGCAACAAAGGATACTTTTCAATCATTTCAGGAAGAAGTTCTAACAATTCCATTTCTGTTTTTATAATCGCTTGATCATTAATTTGATCATGTTTACCCATTTCAATTTCGTTTTCATTTGGAACATACTCCACATCATCATTTTCAGAGACTTTAGTACTCAAATCAACAACAATAACTTGTTCACTTTCTTCATATTTGTTCGATTGATTCCCAACATTTTTCAAATTCTTCATATTTCCATCATCATCAAATTTAATATGAATGCTTGGTGAAGGTTTAGGTAAATTGATTTTAAAATTAAAATTTGTTTTAAAATTTGTTTTCTCTTCTGGTTGAACATTCTTTAATTTCCTTTTACGGGTTCTAACTCTTTTACGTTTCACAACGTTTTCTTGTATGATGCTAGATATAGATAGACATTCAGTTGTATCTGATATTGTTGAATTTTCAACTTCCATTACTTCAACATTCACAGAATTATCAGTTATTTCAATTAACTCCTGTGGTATAACAATGTCTTGTATAATATTAACTTTTGTATCTTTTTGATTGGAATCTTTTAATGTATTAATATCATTTTCTTCCTTACCAGTTGTTTTAATTGAATCTGTTGAAGGTTCAATAGATTCAAATCCGCTTGTTTCTTTTGATGTACAAACAACAATATTTTTGATTACATTTTGTTGTTGTGGTAATTTTGTGGAAATTAATTTTAATGAATCATTAGGTTTTACAAAAAGTTTGTGATTTTTCATAACATCAGAAATATTAACAGTTTCTGGTGCAATGTCTTTTTCATTTTCCTGGGATTGATTTAGATTTATTACATCAGTGTGTTTTTCAAAATATTCAACTTTATCCTTAACAGAATTATGAGTACCATTCTCATCAACATCATCATCCACTTTCCCACCATCTATTTTTGTTGTTAAATTTGTTCTCTTCAAAGTTTTATTTCTTTTACTTGTTTTCTTTGTTACGTTCTCATCATTATTGGGTTGTTCATTATTTTCTATCGGAGTACTCCCCCAAAGACGTTCATTTGAAACAGTAAAAGAATTTTTTAATTTTTTGTTAGGATACACTTTCTCTTTATTCTTTTTTCTTCGTTTATTCTTTCCATTTTCAATTGCTTCATTTTCACTCGAACTATTATTGTTTTCTTCTAATTGTTGTTGTGGGCAAGGCTTTTTTGTAACTGTATTCGAATTTTGTGGTAAAGGAGCAACCCTAACAATAAAACATTATATAAAAACGTCAAAAATATTAATTTTATCACACTTACGAAATGCAATCGTTAACATTTAATACTTGAATACTTTCCGTGCCAGGTAAAAACTGCTTCTCAGCCATCAAATAAAAATTGTTCAAGTTAAACGTTTTAGCAATGTGCTCTTGTAAATCATTAATCGTTTCCATCCTGTTTAAATTAACGAACATTCGACAAAACCGGCGGTGATCGTTGAAAAATTCAACCAAATTTACAGTTATTTTAAATCCATTCATTTTGCCTTAATTTTATTACGAAAATATTGTCTATAATTTAACGAAAATATCAAAAAACACTTATATACGGGTAAATACGGACTTATATTATATTAATACTTATACAAAAACTAATAAATGCAATTAAAAAACATTTTGACCTCTCGAAAATATAGGTTATGTTTCGATTTTTATAGGTTATGTTAAACAAAAAAATACAAAGTAACGGAACTAAAAAAGATTTTTAAAGCCCAAAATTAAAATTCAATTCATCAAATTTAAGAAATTAATTAATACTTGATTTGTCTTTATTAATATTTATTTATTTACTAATAAATTAATTGGTTGCAAACGAAAATGTTTAAATTACAGAAATCTGTATTTTAACCTAACTTTAATTTGACATTTATAAAAACTAAAAACTTAAATTTTCTCATTATATTAATAATAATGTTTTAATTTTTAGTTGCACCATGGAAACTCATAAAGGTGCGTTATCATTATTACAAGATTATGGTGATAATTCATCAGATGAAGAAGTTCCTTTTGGTAGAGTGTCCACAAAACGTAGTTATAAAGAGGATGAAGAAAATGAATCTACAAAGAAGTAGGTGTTTTAGACCACAAAATGCTTCTTAATCAAACGTTATTAATTTTAGGTTATTTTTACCATCAATAATTAGTACTAAGGAAATCGATAATCATCTTGATGATCCATCTATTCATGATGGTAGAATTCGTTCGTTTCCACATGAACGAGATTCTTGGGCTACTTATGTTTATATTTCTTGTATGTTTAATTATCTTGTTATTAACGAGATACTGACTAATTTTTTTAATAATTAGGTGAACCAAATGAAGGTATTCAACACATAATAAAACTAATTGATGAACATATACCCGATATTAAATCAACAAGTGATTTTCATATAAGTTTAACTAAAGTTGTTGTGTTAAGATATCATTGGATTGAATCATTTGTAACAACCTTAAAAGACAATTTGGGCTTAATGAAACGGTAAATTTAAGTTATATGTGGAAATATTATAATTTCAAAACAAGATTTTAGTTTTTTAATAATGTTTGATTCATTGAAAGTTTATTGTAATGAAGATCGAACAAGAACCTTTATAGGATTTGTAGTTAAAACAGGATATGATACCTTAGCAAAATTGGTTGAAATTTTAGACAAATGTTTAAATGAATTTAGATTACCTAAATTTTATGAGGCAAGATTATTTTTTGAATATATTAACCTTTTAAGTAATCATATTAGTTTTTTATTTTAGGAAAAAAGGTTTCATATGAGTATAGCATGGTGTCTTGGAGATCAAGAAGAAAACATCAAACAGATTTTACCTGAATTAAATGATCAATTATTAAGTGTAATGAGTGATTATCCCGAAGATTATTGGTATATTATAGTCGATAGATTGGAATGTAAGATTGGAAATAAATATTTTAGTTTTGGGACATCTTAATACATTTTTTTGATGATTAAGTTGTTTTTTTTTTTTGATTAAAAAAACAACTTTAAAACCAACTGCCTCATAAAAATATATACAGTAATCAAAATTTAATATTCATTAATTAATATTTGAACACCCAAAATTAGAAAATCATGGATTACTCAAGAATGGTAGCTTATGATAGTACAAATTTCAAATATTTTTGGTGATTTACTTATACAACTGTACGCGAAAGAGCATTTTATTAATTTTTGTGTAAATAACTGCTGTTATACAAGATTTTTAATCGTTTTTTGTTCCCATTTTGATTGTTTTTTCAAAAAACTTCAAATTCAGTTGAATTATTATAAAAATTGTTGAAATTATATCGTCAAATCCCTAAGCATCTTACTCTAAGTGGTGTGGTACTCTACAACAGTCTTGAACAGGTCTTAGGTATACGTGTTAAACTTCAACGGCGCGAAATTTTATTAAAAAGTTGGTTTTAAAAGTCAAAATGCTAAAATAAGTATTTTAATTTCTGGAAAATGGTAATTATCACAGATGAGACTAAACTCAATATAAAAATATCAACTGGACGAGTAAGAATTTGGCGAGAGGAAAACAAGAGCCTATATCTACATAATTTGATATGTACAGGATGGTTCAAATTCGATGTCCGAATAGGCTATCTCGAAAACTACACTCAGGTGCAAAAAAAACGCAATAAGCTAATATTTGGTAAAGTTTGAAATGTGATAACTTTTTTATTTTTCGTTCAATTTTCATGATTTTTTCAACAAACTGTAGATAAAAATGTCTAATTTCATTTTCAATATCCAGCCTTTTGTTAAATGCTGGTCATTTAGTCGGTATACAGGTTAATTGCAACGTCGTTCTAGGATCCTAATTTTAAAACACCCTGTTGAATAATTTAGTGGATAAATGGTTTCAAAATTATAATTTTTGTTAAGAACCATTTGTTCCCAACATTTTGTTTATTTGGTTCATGTCTCTAAGTGCATTCGTTCATTTTTAAGAGCAAAATGAATTTGTCACTAACAATTTACTTAAGATACGAATAATATAATAAAAAAATTAACTGGCACTTTTGTCGTGGTAGTTTTTACATTGTTTGTTGAATTTTTATTATGTAGCTATAGAGCGATTTTTTTTTTGTTTCTTTATTTCTGAATGAGTATGTATCTCTAATCACATTGTAATACAAATTTTCTATTCTCTTATTGTTTTATAAGAACCTCATAATTTACGTAGACTTTTGTACGTCACTGTAACTTCTGTACCTGTCAAAAACCACGATGGAATGATCGAAAGATAAGAAGAGGATAAACAGATATTAAACATTAATAACATTATATTATTTAAAAAAAATAGTACACAGATGACATTATATTATCATTAAATTTTATATTTATAATTTTGTTGTGTTTTTATTTGAATAATTAATATAAACCAAACTGCCATCTACAATCCGTTTTATAAATTATATTAGTGGATAAACTGACCGATAATAAAGATTACAATGAGAAAAGCGAGGTTATATCGTCTTAATTATCAATTTTATTTTAAAGAATTTAAGCCCTAAATGTTATGATTTAATAATTTTTAATAATAAATAACAATTTTATTTAATAAAAAGATTTTATTTAAAAAAAAGTTACAAAAACTTAAAAACCGCGTGCCTCATAAAAATACAACTTTTGTACCTGTCAAAAAATACGGTGAAATGATCGAAAGATAGGAGAAGGATAAATAGATTTAAAACACGAATAATTAGATTAGCAATGGAATGACATTATATGATTACTAAATTTTGTATTTATAATTTAGTTGTATTTTTATTTGAATAATTAATTTAAAACAAACTGCCATCTACAATCTTTCTTATAAATTATATTAGGGAGTAGACTGGCCGATAATGAAGATTACAATAACAAAAATGAGGTTATATTGTCTTTATTATCAATTTTATTTAGAAGAATTTAAATACTTTATGTTATATTTTAACAATTTTTAATAATAAATAAAAAATTTATTTAATAAAAAGTTTTTTTTTAAAAAAAAAGTAACAAAAACTTAAAAACCACGTGCCTCATAAAAATACAACTTCTGTACCTGTCAAAAAATACGGTGAAATGATCGAAAGATAAGAGGAGGATAAACAGATAATAAACACGGATAAATTCCGGGATGACGACCGTTTTTTAATTAAATAAAACCGGTTAATTTAATATATTTTAGCGTCGACGCGGTTGAATACCTCGAAGAAAAGTCGTTTAGAAAAATCAATAGATCCACTCGCCAAAAAAGCATGTTATTATTATTTTTTTGTTTTAAAGTTTGACAGAACGCGAAGCGCGCCGTCCAAATTCAGTAAATAAAATAAAATTTGATATCGGATTTTTACTGAAAGATACAAAAGAAATAAAAAGAAAATTAACGAAATCAACGAAAAAGGAAGAGTAATAATTAATAAAATAGAAATCTTACAGTTCAATATCAAAGGAGTCTCGAATAGTTAGTGGTCATACTGGTTCGTTAGTGCGCATGCTCACGTCGAACGTAAATGATCGAGTTTGTCCTCCGCCGCCACCACTCATCAGTGTTGTTACGTTGTTTGGTGAACGTTGTTCGGAAATCGTCTAAAGAAAATCTCGTTTTTCCGGTACAAGTATTTTGGCGCGAATCAAGTGGAAATTATACGGATAATGTTAGCGGTTTGTTGTCCGCCGAGAAGATAGCGAGGAAAAGTCGTATAACGATACGGTAAGAGGCGTTTACTTTCGGCATCGGCTTCTTTTTTCGCCGTACTATTTGACTTTTGTGGCACGTGTCCTATACATTTTTCATAGGAATGCCGGCTAGCACCTTAGATCCCGTTAATGCGGCGATCCGCAGTTCCCTCTCGAAAACGACGTCCGAGGCTAACCTAGACGTTCAACTGGCTGGGGCCACTAAAAAGGCCCTTCTCGCCGACATCGAGTTCAAACCCGCTGGAAGTTATCAAACAACCGTATTGGATAAACTTAAGAATAAATATATTGTACTCAAATCAACAGAAACACAACCAGTCAGGTAATAACAATAATTTTAATTGTTACTAAAAAAAATTAATTAAAATCTTCCACATTTATTTCCTCATGATAATCATCCATATGTAGATTTGAAAGCAAAGCTTTTTTTCACCTAAAAAGATTATTTATGTTTTAAAATTTATTTCTTACAACATTATCATTGGTTTTATATTGAAATTTATTTTAAAATCTCCTGTTTAAGGAAAACATCTTGTGAATTTAAGTGAATACTAAAAAGGTTTTGTTGATATTAACTTGTTGAAATATAGGCAACACATATTGCTTATGATTTTTTTTTGTTTTAGGTGGGGATGTTTTGTATTGCGCGACCTTGAGTTTTATCTAGGCGCCAAAAACTTTATTTTTGAACTAAATAGATAAAACTAATTGAAAATAATCGCTACGATTGAAATGATTGATATCACGTACAGTTAATTTGAAAATAGAAATTTTTTCTTTTGAAATACAGTAAAATCTCGATTTAATGGATTAGTACAGGGAAGGGAGTATCCCTTATATGAAAAATTACACTTTAAACTGTTTTAATGAATATTTTTAATGTATTTTGACAATCTACGTGGCTTTATATTTATACTAAGGACCCTAGAATCTAAGAGGACTGCTAAATAGCTCAAAGATCCCTTCATGACGTCACACATGCGTAGGCAACTTCTATTTCAAACTTGAAATTAGCTTGAAATTATTTATTCTATTCATGTTTTGTAATGTTGTTAGTTTGAGACTTAAGATTCATAATAGAAAATAAAGATCTTGATCCAGTTTAGCTGTGCGTCTCTTAACATGGCTTAACCTGAATGTTTCTATCTAATTCTAGGTCTAGTGTTAGTTTCACTTTTGGTTCAATAAAAATATACAATAATCTAGCGCTTAATAACAATTAAAACTAGAACTAACACTAGACCTAGAACTAGAAATATTCTAGAGTATCAGGGTATCTTATACAAATGGCCAAAAATTGAAATTTTTATTTAATTAAAAATATGGAGTGAAGAAACAAAGTTAGCCCCTATGAATAAGGGGGGAGAGCTGATTTTGATCCTAATTTTTTAGGAAGAAAAGGAATAATCAAAAAAATACTTACAGTCAATGAAGTTACAAGAAAACTGGAGTGAAAATCATAGAAAAGTGACACATTTTGGTGTATGATGGATAATCAAAAAGAAGATAAAATAACTAATGGCGCTGTTTAAAAAAACGTGGAATCTAACGAAAATGAAAAAAACAGATTTACATCAGGAAACATTTTAAGAAATGACAATAATGAAAATTAATATTGAAGAAATGGATGTTTTTTTCCATTTTCTTTAGATTCCACGCTTTTTTTAACGATGTCATTAGCTATTTTATATTCATCCTTATGTTGATTATCAAAAAGTGTCACTTTTCTATGATTTTCACTCCAGTAACTTCATTGACTGTAAGTATTTTTTGATTATTCCTTTTCTGCCTCAAAAATCAGGATCAAAATCAGCTCTACCCCCTTATTCATAGGGACTAACTTTGTTTCTTTGCTCCCAATTTTTAATTAAATAAAAAACTTCTGCTTCTTAAATCAATTTTTTTTTATATGTTAAAATTTTAGTTTTAAAAGTTCGCTTAACTTCTAACAATTAAATTCAACTTCTTTACTTTAACATCCTCAATTTACTGAGCTTGAAGATTTTATTCTTATATCTTTGAACCAATAATATAGCCTATTTATGATTTAATATCTTTAAACCTAAAACTAGTACGAGCTAGATTGTTGTATATTTTTATTATTGTATTTATTAATTCTTATTTAGTTCAATAAAAATATAGCACTGAATTATCTGGAACTAACACTATACCTAGAACTAGAAATATTTAACCCGAATGTTGTTCTAGGTCTAGTGTTAGTTCTAATTTTCGTTCATTAAAAATTTTGAATAATCTAGTACTGTATAACAATTAAAACTGAAACTACCGTCCTTGATTTATACATCATATAAACAACTTGGGGAATACCCTGAGTTTATCTATGAGCATGGAATACAGCAACTTTGGGTTGAGTTAGATTCTATCTATAAGCACTAACATTTATGTTATATGACTTAAAAATATTTTGTCCATTATATCCAAAGACTGTTCTAACGAGGTTCGTTATATTCAGGTTTTACTGTATTTACTTTTAATATAGGCAACTTGTTACACATCTCTATGTGGAGAAAATTTTTTATAGACTTATCTAACTATGTATTATACTTTATTACTATTTATCACTATCAGAAATTAAATAAAAATCATATTATCATGAATTTTATCGATTAAAATAGAAATGGGAATAATAAGTTCCCAAATAATGCGAATTTTTAGAATAGTATTGAAAAAATTTAAGTTTTTTTGTTATGAAATTTGAATATTGCTATAAAAATTTATGCACTTGCTTTATTGAAGCAAAAAATACTTATTATGCGTTATTCTTATATGCTTACGCACAAAATTAAACTTTGCTCCGCATAAATCTGTTTTTTTATTACCAAATACAGTTATTATTTCTTATATAAATGTAATAATTTTAATTCAATCTTATTTTCTGTTTATAAAGCATGCCAATATGATTAATATTAAAATTTATATAAGGTTATTTTATCTCCAACAATTATTTGAAAGCTATCAAAAGTTACCTAAAAATAATATAAAATTATTTCACATGTGGGATTGGTTTAAATTCGTTTGGAACCTCAATGCGTTATATGTATCTTGCACGTGAATCAACCTAGTGTGGAGAGAGTGTGTTACTTCTCTACGTAGTAGCCGTTCCGAGGGATGCACCTCGTTGTCTAAGACAAACTTCTGTCGTAGCCAACGTTTCATGTGAGCAAAAAGATGAAAATCAGAGAGATTTTAGTCTGGGCTTATGGTGGGTGGCAAAACGTATCCCATCGGAAAAACTGCAAGACCTGTTTTGCTGCAGCTGCAATATGAGTATGTATCTTCTCTATTATCATGGAGAAGAACAATGCCTGATGGCAATATTCTTCTGCGCTTGTTCTGTATTGCCCTTCACAGACGTTCAACGAAACTGCAGTGATGGTCGTGCCACGTTCCAAGAATTCCACCAAGCCAAACAACACCTTTTCCCTTCCAGTTCACTTTCTGTTGGAGAAGGTTGGCTTGAACTTCCTTGGTTTACTTGGTTAATCAGAATGTAACAACTATTTGGTTTGATCTTTCGTTTCTCCAGTTTCGTGAAGGATCCATGCCTCGTCCTCTGTGACGAATTTGTTCAAAAAAATCTTCTCCGTCATCATGCGCTGGATTTTGTGACGGTCGGACAATTGCACAGAGTTTGCGATATTGGAGTCTCTCAATCACGATAGTGTAGAGATTGGCACACTCTTGTACTTCCATGTTAGTCTGCACCATAAACGTCCTGCTTTGAAGTTCCTACACCATTACCGTACCTTGTTGTCACTCATGATTGTTTTTCCGTATACATTACTTATTCTTTAATGAATTTCGGCTGCATTGTACCCCTCAGCATGCAGAAATCGAATGACAGCACGGACTTCACACTTCACCGGAGACTCTATTCTTCGAGGTATGTTTACGTGCTATCTGCTCGTTCAGGATTATCCTGTTGGGATCTATTTTGCAGAGTTTTAGTGTATAATATATTATCTTTGTGCATAAATTCTGTGGAATATCTTACAATTGTATTGTTACTTTTGTAACAAATATTTTTGGACACCCCAAATATAAGAGACCTTTCACGACTGAACTTTTGTTTGTCCATCAAGTAATTTTTACTTTACTAATGTTAATTTTGCTAATGTTGTAGAAAATCAAGAAATTTTTTCTGTACCAGAACTAGAATATGAACTATGCTCACTTTACGGGGGGTCTTTTTAAGGCCGACTTACCATCCTCCTGATAAATTATCTAGGGGATAGTTAACATGGTTATGGCAGTTTTAAGCGTTCTCACTGGCTAAAAGATTTATCAATGGGAAGAATTTATCAAGAGATGGTAAAAGTGGCTGTTATTCAATTCGAAGTCTATATGATATAGTTTCTTTATTGTGGGCATTAATTTTAAGCTTTTCTTTTACAAAGTTGCTGAAAATTTCTGTTGGTTTCAGTTATAGGAGTGATCAGAGATTGCAAATAATAATCTGTAGCAAATCAATTTTAAGGTTTTATTATGTTTTGGAGTACTATTTTTTAAATAATCCTCTATTATTCCCTACTATTGATTATAGAAAAGTTTTACGTCATAAGGTCGTTTTTTGAGCAGAACGCATATAGGCTATAACTTTTTTTTTAGGTGTTCCATGCATTTGGCGCATCTAGCAGTCTCCACATGGTAAATCTAGTCCAAAGCATGTTTATTTCTTTAACATGTACCATTGGAAAGATGGTGCTCACATTGGCATTCTTAAGATGTTTGATATATTCCGCTTTTAATTGTATTAAAAATACCTTTTAATTTAAAAAATTGGTATTTAGCGGTTTATCCATGCTTATTTTTATCAATGTTAAAATTATTGGTGATAATTCTGTTGATTATTTCTTCAATTATTTCTTGTGTTTTAAAGTTCTATTGAATTCTTTCTAAGAAAATTCTTGTTTTCGTGAAAAAACTCAAGTTTTGAACCGTTTGATAATTTCTTTAATATTTTGAGGGTTGGTGGAGAATAAAATTTTATAGGCTTAATCATGTTGGGGATTATCTTTAGTAACGCCAACGTACAGGTATTGGTCCGCAGTAAAATCAGCGTCATTAAAAATATTTAGAATTACTGAAATGATTCCAACGCATTGAAATCCTTTAATAGCTTTATCGATAAAGGATAATCGCCGTGTAAGCATATTTAAAAATAGCAATAATATCGTATTGTGTGGTTCTTGTTTTGATAGCAGCAAAATGTTTGTGTTTTCTGTTTTTTCGTGCTGTATACACCCTAAAACGCTGGATCATCCACCGTAGTCCTCAGAAATTAATCTGAACTTGAAACTGGTTTAGCATTGATTCCAAATACTGCTTTTTCTTCTTTCTAATGTGGATAACCTTACTGCCCGTTCGTTGCCAAAGCTTCCTCCCTGGAAGAAGAGGTTTAACATTCTCATGTTAGAAGCACTATGACTTCTAAGTGTTATTTAAGAAGCCATTGGCAATAGATAATAGCAAGGCAAAAGATAGAAACTTAGATAAAAATGCATAGATGTTCATGACATGTTTACCGTTGCTTATGATTTCTTTATTTATATAAAAGTCCCCTTCATAAAAATTTTAAATATCATACATTTTAGCACGTCAGTAGCCATGAGCTTTATGACAAGTTTTTATTGTTGTAAGATGTGTTGCAAACTCGAGTTATTCCAAGAAAGTGACGTAAGAGTCTTCAAGGAATTTGTATTAAATTGTTTTCGACGCCATAAAATAATGGATATCGTAGCAAACTTTTTATTGCTGCCTCTTAATTTTCGTTATAAATCAAATTTCAATTAAATCGTACATAATTAAAAATCGATCCAAAATGATCTTAATATGTAATAAAATATTTTTAATCCATTAAAAGATCACCTATTAAAACAAGATTTGATCCATAATAATTTAAATCATGATTATGGTTCCTTTTAAATTATTCTTGTTTACGTTAAACAAAAAACGAAATATGATATCAAATAATAAACAAGATATCGCTTGAGTATGATAAAATTGAGCGTTTTAAATATCTTATAAAATTGATTTTTTGCATTTATGTCTATATTATCAGTTTAAGCAAACAAGAATCATGCTATTTTAAGAACAATTTGTCTGCTAGTCTCGATCCACGTGTAATCTCATCATAAATATTTCAATATTAGATTTTCTCCAAAATGATTTTGATTTAGATATTTCATTGTTGCTGTCAAGGTTGTAAACTATAGTATATTTGGCATTCGAAGTTATTTTGTGCTACAACAACTTAGTTTTATTTTTATCTATGTCCGTGTTTATTATAATTAAATTAATGTTATTTGATTTTTTTTTCAGTGCCCCTGAAAAAATGGGTGCAGATGAAACGTTGACCGTGGCAAAGAACGAACTGTACCCATTAGATGCTGTAAAATTAGGATGGAATATCACGGATTGGGCTGTAGGCGCGGGGATGGTTAATATGGGAAATACCTGCTACCTGAACTCTACACTACAAGCTCTTTTTCATGTACCTGCTCTTGTAAATTGGCTTATGTCGGATAGACAACATATGAGTGAATGCGCCGAATCAGGTAAGATATTTTGATTATTTTAATTTTATAAATTATTTCTTAATAATGATATTAATTTGTTTAGGTGGTTTATGTATAATTTGTGCAATGAGAAAAACACTCCAAGACTCGCAACAGCGTAACATAAACTCAATCCGTCCCTTCCTAATTTACAATAAGCTTCGGGTCGTTTGTCGCAATTTAATACCGGGTCGACAAGAGGATGCGCACGAGTTCCTAAGGTATCTGGTCGAAGCAATGGAAAAGGCCTATCTCAGCCGTTTTAAGAATCAATCCCAATTCGATTCTCGAACGAAAGAGACAACACCCCTCAACCAAATCCTCGGAGGTTATTTAAGATCGACTGTGCGGTGTTTACAATGTGGGCATGTTAGCACCACATTCCAGCATTTCCAAGACTTACTTTTAGATATTAGGAAAGCCCAAACGGTCGAGGAAGCCCTCGACGGATACTTTTCGAGAGAGAAATTGGACGATGATTCGTATCATTGCGAATCGTGTAAAAAGAAGGTAAATATTAAAGTTAAGAAATTATTACTATATAAAAAAAAACTTATTACTTGCTTAGTATCAATTTATTCGGAACTGGTTTCGAGCTTAGCTCATCATCAGCCGAATCTACGTAAAAAGTTACATTATGAACATAATATTCGAAAAAATAAACATAATGAAAAACAATAAAAATATTGCATTCGTAAATTTACTGTCAAAAAGTTAAAAACGACGTCATTAAAACAAAATTTATGAAAAGATACATTATAGTTATTTATTGTGTAAGTGTTTCAGACAGCATTTTATTCACGCAAGAATGTTCTTAAGTGAATAAAATGCATCTAAAACACGCATGCAATACAGCGTTTTATCCACAATCACACTCATTTAGAATCAGAATCGCCAAAATTTCATCTGATGTTATCAAAAAATGATTTGACATTTCACTCTGACAGCGGCTGTCACCTCAAAAATCATTGCAATTAACTAAAAAAACATTGGGAGGTGTTGAATTGGTGCTATTTATTTTCGATTGTTTATCGACTCCATTTGTAACATATTTGTAAAAGTGTGAAAGTTGTAAAGGTTGTAAACATAAAGTTGCTGAAAAATGGAAGAAAGTGATATGACGAATCAAAGAATGAAATGTCTATTAATGTTAATATAAATAATAAATAGGATGTGATTGATTTAAGATTATATTTTTCATTATACCACTAGTGGATTAAAGTAACATTATTCCACTAGTGGATAAAGTGGTACTTTATACGGTTCATAAGTGTGGATAAAACTTCAATTATAAGGTGATTGTGGATAAAAGTATATTATTCAACAAGGGTATAATGGTGGCTATTACCCACGAAGATGAAGTTGCAATCTTGTTGTAATCTGAGTGGGTAACATCCATTATACGCAAGTTGAATACTATACTTTATCTACAGCTATTTAATTTTGAAAAAAAAAATACAAAAAAAGAAAAAAAAACTGGATAGTCATTTCAGACATAACCTCAATATAAGAAAGCTGTCATTTCTGTTATATTTTATTTTTTGATTAGTAGGTCGTGTCAGAACTGTGGAATAATGGCTTCATTATTCAACACTTGTCAGTCATGCGAGTAATGCGTGTCATTACCCGTCAAAAATCAAATGTATAACGAATAGATAATTCAATAGTTGTAGATAATAGTATATTATTCAACAAGCGTATAATGGCGGCTGTTACCCACGAAGATGAAGTTGTACTTACTTAGTTGTAAGTAGTTGTTCTTACTTTGAGTGCGTTTTCTATCATCGTACCCATTCATCATTAATATTTGTATTCTTTGTTCGCTTAATTGCACCATATTCGTTTAAACTGTCAATTTTTTGACATTTAAAGCTGTCAACGGCGTTATTTCGGTGCGTGCCTTGATTGTAATTTGCTATTTAATATTTTTAGAGAACGCGTTTTTTCTCGATTTTTTTCATATCGCGTGGAGGGATTTATCCTCTATCAAAATATGCAAAAAAGACATGCATCCCATTTAAAATAACAATGTTGGTTGCCATAGCAACGAAACAAAAAAATGTAAACAAGCAAATATCGCCGTAAAATGCGCTACAATTAATAAATAATTTTTTATTTGAAAAATTTTTCTTTTAAACCATAAATGGCGAAGTTATTGGCATATTCCAGGCATTTGACACACCTTGAACGCGATATGTTGTGATGTTGTTTTTTATTTGAACCTAACAAATTATACAGGGTGTCGATTCGTTGTTCGATTTTGAATCGAAAATCTTAATGTTAAAATGTTGATCTGCTATGTTACCAAACGTGTTTTCCATGAAGATATGATAATGAAAAAATTTTAAAAACGAACGTTAAAGTTAAAGAAAATAACTTTAACAAAAAAACTAGTTTTCAAAATTCTTTTTATTCTAAATTACAGCTTATTTAGCAACAAATACATATTGAATATTAATGATGTATATCTGTTATCTGTATATACATCTGATATCTGTTATATAGGATGTATATCACACCCTGTATATCTTTTAAATATTTAAACAGGGTTATATTAAATGTCAATTTGATCATTCAGTAATGTGTAATCTTTCTTTATCTTGAATTTATAAATTTGATATTGCTCTAGTAAGTCCATTTTTGAACCCTTATTACATTGGTGAATGATTCTAACATTATTCTAATTTATTGTGTCCAGTGTCAATGTGATGTCTATAGACATTTCAGTTACATTTATTCATGTGTTCATGTATTCATATGCATAATCTTCTTCCTGTTTGCCCTATGTATATTCCATTACAATTAAAACATTCTATAGAATAAACACCGCATTTGTCAAGAGTGTCTATCTTCTCCATATGACAATTTGAGAGTAATTTCAGAATAGAATTATTATTGGAAAAAGCCAAGGATACATTATACTTAGAAAAAATATTTTTGGTAAATCTTGGGTTCTGTACATTTTGAGTATAATGGATCTTTCTGAAGTTTAATTTTATATAGGAGTTTATTAATAACCTTATTTGGAAATTTATTGACCAGCTTATAGATGTAGGTAAATTCCCTTGTTTTATCTTCACCTGAAAGTGGGTAGTTGAGGGCTGTATTAAATAAAAAATGGAAGTTCCAAATTTATGGGATAATGGATGAGAAGGGTCATATGGGATTGTAGTATTAACATTAGTTGGTTTGCGAAAGATGTAAAATCAGATTATTAGAGAGAGTATTTTCAATGTGGTCAAGGAATATTTCAGATACAAGCAAAATAGTGACATACATACCCATGGGCAGGCCTTTATTAATCTTGTAATAATTATTATCAAAATGGCAGTAGTTCTGTATAATGATGTGTCTCAAAATTGTATTTAGGTGATTCACAATAGTATTGTTGTTAAAAATTTTTTGAAAATATGTGATGTAAGTTGAAGAGTATATTATATAGGGATATTTGAATAAAGATTTGTGACATCAAAGGATTTTATTGTTAAGTTCAATGTTCTTGGTATTATCAATGAATTGTAGTGAATTGGAAATGGAAAAACTAGGGTGGAAGTCGATTAGCTTGAAAATTAGCATGAAATTAGCCAACTTTTCTAAAGGAAATGATGGGTCGTATCGGCATACACTCTTTATATTTTTGGTAGTGAATACAGTCTAGGGATTTCAGGTTTCATATGTGTGAAAAAATAATTATTGGAATTGTTCAACTTGGGAGTGTAGTAGAGTAGTGTTTCTTTACAGGTATTTATTATTTGTTTTGTTTTCCAATTGATGTTGTTTATTGGGTTTATAGTCAGCTTGATGTAATTGTTGTTATGTATGGAATGAACAATTTTTTAAATGTAAGAATCTTCATCAATAATTACTATTCCAGCTCCTTTGTTTGCCTTTACAAATTTTGTTTTCTTTAAGTTTATTCTTTATAGATGTTATGATCCTCCAATAAAGTCTGTTCGAAGTTTAATTTTTATGTATTTTCTTTTCTGATCTTTTTAAGAGGGTAATTAATTCATTTTTAATGGTTTTCTTTTCTGATATTTCTGTGATAGCTACATCAAAGCCTATAGCGGTCGATCTTTGAAGGTAATGCGAATTTGTAACCTTTGTTGAGAAAATTTAATTCTTCTTTACTGAAGTTAATTTTAATAAGGTTCTTATATTGAGTAACATCAGGTTTAGACATATTAGATTCAGGCTCTATGCTACTTGTTCTATTTTTTTTCTTAGGTTATCCAGCTTTCGCTTCTTTTTTCTCAAGTCGTCTTCTTTAATGGTTCTAGCATGTGTATGTGATGAAGAAACGATTTCTTCTATCTCGAGAAAGTGATAGTGTTCTCTTAATTTTCTATGTATGTTGTTAAGCATCTCAGCGTGTTTTTCATTATGTTTGTTTTTTCGAATATTATGTTCATAATATAATTTTTTACGTAGATTCGGCTGATGATGAGCTAAGCTCGAAACCGGTTCCGAATAAATTGATACTAAGCAAGTAAGAAGTTTTATTGTATAGTTTAAATTTTTTAAATTTAAAACTTGCTACATGAATCCCAAACATATTAAAGTTAAGCGTTCAACTCAAGCTTTATTTTAATTATTTGTTTTAGGTTCCAGCCACTAAACAATTTTTATTAGAACGCCAACCTATGGTTTTGTGTATACAATTAAAACGGTTCTCTGTGAGCAACAATAAATTAACTAAACATGTGCAATTTCGGCAAAGACTTGAGTTAACAAAATATGCGAGACATAAACCTTCGGTTCCTTTGGTATATAGGTTTGTTGCTTTGGTTACTCATATGGGGCCCACCGTGGGTTGTGGTCATTATACTGCAGTTGCCCAAGCGCCATGTGGCAATTATTATCAATTTGATGATAGTATGGTAAGTAAAATAATCATTGTTTTCTCCTATAAATGAAATTCAAATAGTTATTATTTTAATTTTGCAGAATTAGCACAATGAATGAAGGATAACTTTAATTACTTTATTTTTCAACCTTTTTTTTTTATTTTAATTGTGATTCATTTTATTAATTGTAATAAATTTTGCAGGTCAGACCAATTTCACATCAAGCAGTATTTAATACAAACGCCTACATAATATTATATGAATTGGAATGTCCACCATTTCCCCAAAAAGCGAATGGATTAACAACAGTAGCATCAAAAACAGCAAGTTCAACAACAAACAACACGTCCACATCATCATCAGTTTCACTTGATACAATTTCGCCATCTCATCCAACCAAACCACACATAAACGGCAATACAAGTAATAAAGTGTATGGTCCAGAATTGCCGCCGGAAAAACAAAAACAACTAGAAAAACAAGAAAAAGTTTCGCAATCTAGTCAAAACGGAGCCGTTTCGAGTTCCGCAAACGGTAACTCCGCTTTGCACAGTTCGGATTCGTTGGAATTGTCGTCTTCAGATAGCGATAACGAATCAGAACGGAAAGATACAAAACAAGAAAAACGTGAAACTACCCAGAAAACAAATAATCAATGTGATAATATGTCTAAGTCATCAAAATTAGTAAAAAATCCTGTCGTTGAGTCATCACCTAATCAAGTTACGAAAGAAGCGAAATATTCTTCAAATAACTCTGAATTGGTGATGGCTTCTTCGGTGAGTTCTTCGACGTCGTCATCCCAATCGGTAAAAAAATTAGTACCATATGACGATGATGAAAGCACGACAAGTTCAGAGGATGTCCAAGAAAATTCGAGGATATGCACAAAAGCTACAGGGCGTGATTGGAAAGTAACATCAACGAGCGAAGAAGTTTTAAGCGAAGGTAGTAGCAGTTGGGAGAAAAAGAATACTAATAACCGATCCACCGTTAATGAATTATTAAAAATGTCGCACGATGGTTATTCGGCTCCCGTAAATTCGTGGAATGGTACGCGGTCCACAATGGACAAGGAAGTGAAAAAGAACTTTTATGAAAGGCGAGAAGAAGATAGAAAACGATCGTTAAACGATAGTATGGACCAAGGCAGAACGAAATATGTTAAAAATTCAAATGGTGATAAAGTGAACCCAGGATACAATCGTGTACAAGTAAGTTCTATTGTGTTTTTTTGGATTTTGTATGTTTTTAATTTTAATTTAAGTTCGCAATGTGATGGAGAAGGGAACAATTCATGATTTTTTACTTTAGCTGATTGCTTAAAGCTGTGCAATATTTGTAGATACTTAGGAAATTAATTGAAAAAAGACTGTAAATGAGAAATGAAAATAATTAATAGGAGAAAATTTGAAAAAATTGAAAAAAAAATCAAATCACTTTGATTACATTACTTTTTTCATTCGAATGATGAATTGTAATTGTTAGAAATGTATTTAAATTTGTAAAATAATGTTTAGTTATTAAAAAGTAAGGAAAATGATTGAAATTTATGATTGGAGTGTTATAAAAAATTAATAAGGTATGATTAATTATTCAAAATCAAAGTAAACATAATTAATAACTTAATGGGTGTTTCAAAAAGTAATTGATTAAATAAAGGAAATCATTTAAAGTGAAATTAATGAATACTTTGGACGTGTAATACAGTTACTTAGGTTTGTCTATATGTTGATTGGTATGACAAACTGCATGTTTAATAGGGGAGCTATTGTAAGCTGCTCTAATGCACTATGTTTCATTGGAGTTGAAGCAGCAACCAATCCAGGATACTCCTTATTCTGGAAATAAGATTTGAAGTGACAGAGATGGTGTTTATACTTCTCTCCATTGTGTTATTTAGATAGGTGTCTCTTTCTACGATGTATAATAACAGAATAATAGAGCAAAAGTGCGTCAAAGTTGTGTAACCATAGTAAATGTTATTACATTTAAAAACACAACAATTAATTGATTTAATTTAACAAAGGGTTTTACAACGATCTGACAACGTTGTTCATTTCGCTTCTTTATCTACACTATAATGTGTTAGAAACTGTCTCCTATTTATATACACCGAATCTTTATAAACAAAGAAGTTCAATATGTTTAATTAAAAATGAGTTAAAAGGGTTAAATTGGACTAAAACTATTTGATAAAGAGCTAGTGAATGTAAAGTTATTATTTTGAATGATGGTTACTTCTCCCATGTATACATAAATACTGTAGTGGATTGCTGTATATCTCAGAGAGAAGTGAAACGAGCGATGTTTCCAGATCGTCGAGATTTTATTCATTTACCTATATATTTTATTTAGTTATAATAAATAAACAATATAAACACAAATTATTTAACAGGAGAGGCGCCGTTTTGTACACTTGTATCATTGAAAGAATCATGGAGTAAAAAGTATATGATGAAGGGAAAGTTTCTTTTGACTGCACCGACATCTTTATTTTTGTACAAAGAAATATAATAATACTTAAGAACTGAAGTGATTTACGTACTCTAACAACAACTTCTTACAAAACTAAAATATCTCAACCCATTCCAGAGACACTTGGTATATATTTATTGTGTATATTTGTTGCTGTGTCTTTTGAAACTCTTATCTTTAAACATTTAGCTGTTTACATCACTTTCAAATAAAGCTTTAAAGCAAATAAAGCAGACGTGGAAGTTTTTATGTTGTGCTGAATGAAGATACGACTGGACCCTCTTTGTAAAGGTATTTAAAAAAAAAACACAAAAATGTTGTGTAGAGTGAAAGAATAAAAATATTTTTGATCTATTAGCATTTTATTGTAGTCTATATTTATGTAATAATAATAAGTATGATATATTATTATCATATATCTGTAGTAGTGTAAAAAAATCACACTTAATGAATCATAATGATATTGATAGTAATAACATGGTGTAACACTTATTATAACATGACAAATGTATTTAATATTTAAAGTTATTAACAATTCCTTTTAGGTTATGGCAATGTCAAGTAGTTTTTAAGAAGTAAGCATATGTAAATATAGTTTTTGCTAGAAGAAAGTTCTTGCAAGTTCTTTGAAGGTCCCCCCAGACTTTTTTTCTACACTGTATGTATTCGCATTATTTCTTACATTTACTTCAATGGATGAATTTTTAATTGATCAGTTTGATAATGATCACAATAACACAGAGGATAATTACGACCATATTTCAAGAGGAAATAAAAATGAATCAAGTTGAGAATATGAAAAATATTGATTTTATTAAAGAAGAAATACGTATTTCTTGCCAAAAGATAAACATATTTTTATATTAAAAAAGATTTGCTCATTTAAAGACCACACCATTTGCTACTGCACATGTGTCTGATGCACTATTTGCTTTCTTGATTGAGTTATTTGAAAATACGGCTATTGAAATGACGTGAGCTGCTTTCTATATTCTACCTAGCATTTATCGTTTGAAGGATCGCACAATTTTCGCTGCAACTATAGGATTTTGTAGATTCAAAGATACACTATCTCCAAAAATGTTTTTTAATTCCATCGACAGAAACTAATTTTGTTCGATTTGTTATGAACGAAATTGAATGTTATTGTCTGACATTAAATCAATTTTTGACACATGAAGTAATGATTCAGATTTAGAAATGAAGTTGAAACGTTATCAAGAATACGCAAAATCTGCCTTAAACTAATAAGGGCTGCACCAATACTTTTAGAGGAACTAATGTCATCTACAGAAATTACGAACTGAATTTGAGAACCTGTGATCTGTGTACAAGATGATCTTCCAAATATTATTAATAATTGGCGGTTCTCTTTATATATAAGTATTCAAGAAAAGCGCAACCTCTTCTGGATACATTTCTGAAAAGAAATTTTTGATATATTTTGTAGCGTTTTGTGGGATTGTTTCACTGCATATATCTTTTTTTCATTTAGTAACTAAATATTTATTGTTGTGTTCGAGATATTGAATATAAGCGCTGAATACATAAGGAAATATTTGAGGGTGTGTTTAAATTAATATTAAACTTCTTTGAGTTTGACACTGGGGAAGCTTTCCTTGTGAAATGTACCCGTTCAAAAGTAGTATAGGTTCGTCAGTGATATAGTCGCAAGCAGAAAGTTCAACTTTCGCCTTAATTTGAAACCAAGTATAGCGATTAAACTTCGTACGTCAGATTAAAATAATTTTTGTGAATCAATAGCACCCAAGAAAGGAATCACAAAGTAACGGCTTGGTGTGGTGTGAGTAAATATAACGAGGTGGGCAAATACCCAAACAGCTAAAGCATCGATTACCCATTATCATTTCCAAGTTTAGTGATAGTTATTGGATTCCTCAGCCCAATATGCTATATAGCTACAGCTTAATATATCATATGCTATTTTTCTTGTGGAATCACCTCACACATGAATACAATCACAAAACCTTCGAGTATTGAAAGAACAGAAAAAAGCTGTAGCTATCTCCCAAATTGATGGAAATGAAACAATGATAACTTTCAGCATGATGCAAGGAAATACAATGAATGATTAATGAATCTCTAATGCATTAATTGAACCAATGCTTGTAGTGAATAGTGTTGTGAGATGAAAGATATAGCATATGTGACGATTTTCATGTACCATATATGATATATGAAATAATTAGCATAGGTTTTTTTTTCTAAACTACGTTTTCCTTGGAATAGATATATATATATATATATATATATATATATATATATATAGAATAGATGGAATAGATATACTTGTTCACATGGTCGTTCTAAATTTAGATGTTTATCTTTAAATGGCAAAGAATCTTATTGGAGAATACTTGTTAGGGTAAACGAAATCACGCGTTGATTGGGACTTAAAAATTAATGTCACGTGTATTAACAACTTATATCACACATTTATTTAAGAAGTTACCAAGAAATAATGGAATGTATTTATTAAGTTAGGTTTAAAACTTAGGATAATTCTCAAATGATTTATTTTTTTATGTAGTTTTTGTCGCTCGAAACAAAAAGAAGTTGTGAAGTTATTCGTTATATTTAACATGATATCGTCTTCGAGTATGGTAAAGACCGCAAAGATGATTGGGAAGATAATCACGATGGTATTGCCAGAAAGACGGAAGTTGATTCAAGTGTTCTTAAATTAGTTACAATCGGTAGTAAACCAGTGGAAGTTAACTTCAAAACAGTTTGTCTTCATAAATTTATTATTTTTATTAATTAAATAATTTCCTAAGAATCTATAAAATATTGCAAGTTTTTATAGTTTAAGCGAAAGTAAAACAATATCACAATTTTTTGTGGAAATTTTACGACTTTTATGATTATTATAAAATTCAAACGTTATGTTTTATTATTAAATATAAAATTATACAGTGCGCATCAAATGTAACTCCCCTTAACACATTGGCTGCCACGTCATTCATGACGTCATCGCGTGGTAGCCAATGTGTTAATTTCATTTGATAACAGTTCTAACTGTCTTTTATTAATACATATATTAATGTACATACAAAATCAAGGACAGTAGAATCTAACAGGGCTGCTACATCCATTGTTGTGACAACGTGCCCGCACACTACGTCGTAGCATTTGCCCGCTGTTATTGTGTTCTATGCGTTTGCTGTGTATTTTTAGAGGTTATATCGTATATCGTAGACGTTTTATTGCTTTAGACATATGAATGTCTATCATATAACTTCTAAAGACACATAGCAAACGCATAGAACTCAATGACAGTTAACTGGGCGTGGCAAATAGTGTGACATAGAGTGCGGGCGACTAAAGCCGGGTTTATACAGACGATTTAGCTGTAAATTTAAATTTAAAAATTTAGCTATAAGAGTTAAATGTATTGAAACCCCATGTATCGTTTATACAAAGTAAGATTTAGCTGTAAACATAAAGTTGGTCAACTTTTCTAAATTTACAGCGTCACACATGCGCAAGACGACCTCAATCAGCTGTACCCAATGATCGGTGTAAATAGCGCGTTATAACCTAACCTCAACTGTTGTTTATTTCTGTGCCAACAAAATGAGTGAATTCGATGGAAAATTAATTAAAATTGTTGAGAACTACCGATATATTTACGATAAAAAATGTTCTGGGCATAAAAATAAGATATTGGTAGAAAATGACAATACAAAAACCAATAATATTTTGTTTCTTGAGGTTGCGATTCTGTAAATCTTAAATTCTGTATAAATCAATTTTTTTCTTAAAGCTAAATAAAATCTTTAAATCTAAATATTTAAATTTACAGTTAAATTCTGTATAAACCCGGAATAACTCGTAGTGGGCTACAAAACAACAATGGATGTAGCAGTCCTGTTAGATTCTACTGTCCTTGATACAAAATTATATAACCTCTTGCGTTAAACTAAAGCAAATCTACAGATTCAGTGTTACATAAATATTTAGTTCAGGATTTCCAGGTGGATCATATACCACCTGAGTTACAGTGTGTTAATTAATTATCGTACTCGACGTCATCATTGCAAGTATGCAACCAATATCAAAGTATTGGTATTGCAAATCGTGTAATATTCACTTCTGAGTAGAAATTAAGGATTCACAACCAGACTATCTGGATTTAGATCAGTTTTTGTTACATCTTTTGGCAGATGAGATGCCAGTTTTTGAAGGTTCTTGTTTTGGTAGCGTAATTCAAATTTTTTACCTGATCCGTTTTAAAATTAAAGTATTCGATACTTTCCTGTCTCACCTCTTATCACATATTTGCTTGGCTCTAACAAGTGTATCACTCCCATATAAGAGTTATATAAGAAGAAGTTCTTCATCCTTCTCTCGAGACCTGTGTGGTCTGTTTTTGATTAGGTTTGCCTCTGAAATACCTCTTGGATAGCAGCTTTCTCGCTCTTTCTTTGGTGTTCTAGTTCTAGACGGATTATTTATAAGCACAATTTTCGGTATTAATTATCTGGAATTCTGCTGATGTAATAATAGTATAATCTCTTGCGCTGTCTTCCCGATCTCACAATATCCTTAACATCGCATTAGTTTCCTATGTCTGAGTTCTTAATTTTATCCCACCTGGTCTTCATTTTTGTTACTATTCACATGCTCTTAGTGTATGCATACGCATGAATTTGTTCGATAAAACAGTATTTGGAAGACAACCTGAAATTGCGGACGCTTTATTGATTTTTCATGGTTCTTTTCTAAATCGTAAGGGAAATAAGATAATTCCATGACTTATTCTTTCTGCTTTTGTATTCTTCAATGTTATCCCCAATGGAAAAAGTACTAACTTTTGCAAATCATTATGTAAAATTCTGGAAAAGAGATCCATAGGAAGAAGACGTAACTGTTGGCTAAAGAACCTTCGGGAGTGGTTTTAAAAGTTAGTATTCCCCTGATGATTACCAACCTCCGAATTGGAGAAGGCACCTAAAGAAGAAGAATGTTAGCTCCAGTTCTTCATCTTATCATTTTTTTTAGGATTTGTTCTTTTCCTCTATTGCTCTCTTGTTATTTTGCTGCTCTCTTAGTCTTCAACACTTCTCCTACGCTTTCATCTAGTATTATCGTCAAGATTGTCAAAGCTATAGATGAAAATATCTATGATATTTCGAGGTTTTTCTGTTTTCCGACGTAATACCTTGTTATGTTTCGTTTTGTTATGGTTATTATATTGTTTTCTTCCATTATATTCGTGCTCTGAGAGTCTCCGCAACTGAGTAGTGTCAGAGGTGATGTTTATTTCTGTATAGCTTCTGCAGTCGAGTTGGAACTTTATCTTGTGTATCAAAATATGATCGATTTCATTCATGATTTGTCCATCTGTTAAGTTTACAAGTCTGGTTCCGTTAGTATTATACTTTTAGTGTATACTATATGGTCCTGTTGTTGCTCTATACAGGGTGATTTAAAAAACCGCTGACAGACTTCTAGGGCAGGTAATACATCAAAAATTAAGATGAAAAGTCTTAATATATATATATCGGGTCAAAGTTTCTTTAAAATTAAACATTATCTGCAAAAAAAGGCCCTTTTTAAAAAATATTTTCAACTCCACTGCTAATTTTGTCAAACGTGCAGTATTTTCGTGTAAAGTGATCAATTATCTATCAATTGCTCTCTTACAAATCTTTGATTAAAGGAACAGTTTTTGATTGAATTAACAAAATTTCTATTTACTATTGCTTTGATCAAAGTTTTGTAAGAGACTAATTGATAGATAATTGATCACTTTACACATGTAGAGAGCAATGGCGTAGACAATATTTGTAAAAAAGTGCTTGTTATTGCAGATAATGTTTAATTTTAAAGAAACTTTGATCCGCTATATCTCGCCAATGAGGCACTTGCGACCCCATGTATATTAAGACTTACTCTAGAAGTCTGTTAGCGGTTTTTTGAATCACCCTGTATATATATTTTCCCGGCTTACTTTTCCATTAATAAATAGTATTATTTTTACGTCGTTTCTGGAGCTTTTTGTTTCGTACACAATCTTCAACGCTGTTGGAACGGATTGAAAGTTGCTTTATAACCAACCCTGCCGGAAATTGACGCAGCTAACGCAGTATATGATTCAACAAATAGAAGTTTGTCACGCAGTTATTAATTTTGGCAGAAAGAAGGCAAATAATAAAAAGTATCAATTAGTACAACTGTTAATTAAAATTACTTACAAAGCGTTTCCAATATCATTTTTACAACAAGCTTCTCTAGACCGAAGATATCACTTTTCAACTCTATTCTTCTTGTCTGAATTTCGACTATCTTCTCGTACTCCAGTCCAGACTAGAGTACGAACCGACATCTTGGAAACTACTCATTCTGCCGAACTACTTTTTTGAATCCATCTCTGCTCTTGGTACTCCAACTCAAAACTCACTGCTAACTCCAACCTCTCATCTTCTTTCGTCGAACTTCTCTACTAAACTCCAACAAGAACCTTCAAAAACTGGCATCTCATTTTCCAGAAGATATAACAAAAACTGATCTAAATCCAGATAGTCTGGTTGTGGATCCTTAATTTCTATTAAGGAGTGTAATATTACGCGATTTGCAATACCAATACTGTGATATTGGTTGCATTCCAGGAACTCTATTTACTCCACTCTGAACTGCTCTCGAATTCCTTGCCAGACTATCTGGAACTGAGTGTGGGACTCAGGAACTAACTCTGTTACGACCTTTGGAACTCCCTGCCAGACTCTCAACTACTAACTGCTTTGGAATAATTTTTTAAATTAATTTATGAGAATTATAGAGACTTACAAATTAGATAGTGGTGGTTACATTTGATGCGCACTCTATCTTTTTGATCATAAAATAAGTGTCGAAAAAATAAAAAAAAATATTTTAAATAATGAGAAGGCAAGTTATCATGTACAGGTGTGTGAATACAATTTTTGCACTCTGTTTTAGTGACAAAACAGACGCAGGATATCTAAAAAACCTTTAAAGTGGAATTTGATCAGGAATAACAGAAGGGTGACGCCCGCTCTGACTCAAATTGCGTTTAATTTTACGTAATCTAAACAAAAAGTAAATAAACTATCAAAAATAAAATATGTATAAACAGAAAATTAAAAATACGATGCGGAAGCGGAACTTCTTTGCACATAGTACATGAAAATGCCTTATCAGCCAAAAAATAAATCAAATAAAGTAAATTGTTCGCCGGATTTTGGAGTGTTCGAGTGAAACTAATGGATGTTTTTGAACCAAAAAATTAAGTTATTCAAAAACGAAACGCTTTACGTGTTTAGATCAAGCTCATTTTAAAGGAGACTTTGTAAATTATTTGTATAGGAAACCCTAGAGCTAGTGACAAAAAAATTACCTTAGATGTAAAAAGATGATATGAGAGACAACCTTAATTAAATAATTTAAAAATATAGATCAAAAATGACTGTGAGAGAATGCTGGACAAATGGTATTGTTAAAAAACTCGACGCGATTCAAAGATTTTTATCGCTAATCGAAATTTTTTTCTTTCTTTCTGTTACAGGAATATCATAATGTAAAAAATAGTACATGGAATGGAAAAAATAATGGTTCTTACAGACAATTTTATAATACGAGTGCGAAACACCGGAACAAGAGACACTTTCACCATAAAAATAATAATAATTATCACAAAAGCTATCGCTTTAGGCAATAAAAATGGAGAGCGAAAAGGATGGGGTTGAGTTTTCCCGTTTCAAATTGTTTTCCACTTTTTAAAGTAATTAAGGACGGGTTCTAATTTCAAATAAAATGTTATTATTGGGTTCTGATATGATTCACTTTGCATATCATCGATTAAAGAACCTCATAATATCTAAATCGCGTTTTAGAATTCATCCTTAATAATTACTTGTATAAAATGTTTTGTACATTAAGAATTTATCCTGCTTTTCGACTTGATTTTTAATTATCAATAAGTATTTTCAGCTTGTTCACTTTCATTAATTATTATTATTTTATTTTCCTTGTCACTTCTTATTCGTTTTTAGTAATCATAAGCTAAATGTTACTATTTTAAACTTAGTATTAGTTTAAAAAATTTTTTTTTGAAATTACGCCTATCAAAAAAAAAATATGGCATGTCTTTTTATTTAAATTTAATGTCTTTATCTGACTTATTGTGTTGCATTTATTTCTCAACAACATAAAATATACACATATTATTATCATTTTATTTATGGTGTACATAATTTACTACATGCTTAAAAAGATTATTAAAAAATTATGATTAATAATTACTCAGATTTGTACTATTAATTTTTATTTTTGTTGATTTAAATCCTTTTTTAAATCATTATGAAACAATCAAACGAATTATTAGCATTTTTAACTTTCATGAATTCTTGTAATGCAATTATAAATTAAAGGAAATGAGGGAAATATTAATAAATAAATCAAAATGTTTCGTTTTTGTGTGTTTGGTTGTTTTATATGAAGTGATTGGCTTGCGAGTGAGCCTCATGTACAGTTAAAATTAATCCGAGCATTGTGAATATGTCGAGTACTCTTACAGAAAAAAAAAATAACTAAAAAAAACCAAGAAATAAAATGTAAAAAATCTCAGTCAAGTGTTCTTAAAGGTAAATGAAAACATAAAAGAAAAAAGCGATTTACTATTTGCCACAATAGAATTTGTTATACGAGGACTTTTACCACTGTTACAACAGACTTATTTAAATTTACACGATTTTATTTTAAAGTAAACTACTTAGAACCTACTATACAAATATACAACAATTTTTTCTATGAATTATTATGTCTTTTTATTTAATTTATCCCTTAAATTTAGGTTTTGTATTTGTATTGGTACTTCCAGGTGAAATACATTTAGAACCTTAAAAAACATACAATTTTTTTTGATAAGAAGGTTCAAACATCTTAAGAATGCGATACTGAAGTATTAAAGCGACATTCCACGTATCTCAGAACTAATAGCTGCTTTCCTTGAAGCGCATTCTTCATTAATTCTTTAAAAAGAGATTTCCTTCAAAATATTCCAAGAATTCCTACAAGTACCAAAAATGGCCATGATAGGTCTGTGTGTTAGGCAACTAAATGTGCAATATATAATACAAGCTGTAACTTGTAAGCATTGAGGTCTTATATATAATCTAGAGTGCGTATGCTATTGTCCCCATCACGCCTAAAATGAAGCCAGAAAGGTTGCCATGTTAGATATACCAACTTAACGGGAAATTCGAAAGTCTGATATATATGCAAGAATTTACATTATTATAAACTGGAAAGACAGAAAATAATAACCAAAACAAAACATTAATTTTTTATTGATAAATAATTATTAATTATATGCTATTTTAAAAGAACTTAATAATTTTTAGCCATAACCCTTATAATTAACATAAACTAAGAAGAAAATATTTAAAGCAATTCTGATTGATCGCGTTAACCTTTGCTTATAAATAATAGTTAGTTTATTTAAAAAAAACTGAACAGTCCTTAATAATAAACTTTACTTCAATTGAAGACCTCGGTGCAAGAAGGGAGTAGCTCAATTTATCAAGACAAGGAGTCGTCCCCTTCTTACACCGAGGTCTTTAATTGTTAATTCCAAGTCAAGTAACCAGAAACATTTTATGCACTGTTGTAAATAATCGTCCAACCTACCAAATTATAAAAAAACATATGTGAAACGAAAAGAATTTGAAAACTTTCTACAAAAATCAAATTTTAATAAAAATAACAATATGTTTATGAGAATTGTGAGGTTATAATTGTAGGTACAATAGAGACTTGAACCTATAGCTAAGTTCAGGTCAGTACATCCAACATGTCTGACTTTCTGATTACCCCCCCCACCACCACATACGCTCTCTAGTTATATATAAGACCTCAATGGTTGTAAGAGTAGTCAATAAAGAAGGGTCGTACAAGAGAACAAAACATATTGGACATGTTGAAAAGAGAATGAGCTCTCGATTCTGAAACATAAGAAAAACAAGCTTGGAAGGAAAGCAAAATTGACAGACGCTCTAATAAGAAAACTGACTACGTATTATGGTCTGCCTATTCTCAGAAGTATAGACAGTATCATTTAGTGAAGTCATCATTTACTACTTCATCCAGATATACAAAAACATGTACTGGCAATTTATAAAGATTTATCTCATGATAATTTGCTAGTCAGGTATTTGGGGACACACTCAGAATGTTAACGAAAGCTTCAACTCGATTGGTTTGACGATTGACCCCAAAAAAATTTCCAAAAATGACTGCTTTTATTGCTTCTAGTCTGTTTAATGAAGAACACAGTGTCATTTTAGAAATTAATGAATTCATTGAATATTGCTATTGGCAAGTAAGCCAAAATATATGTCGATAAAATCGATGAACACCGAAATTGAAAAATATTAATTTTTATAATTCGAAACATTAAACGCGATTTTCTTAAAACTACAACTCTTGGACCAAATATCTCAAGAACCAATCGGTTGATTAGTTTTTATTATATTAATTAAGAACAATTAATTGAACCACATATTGTGTAAGGTTAGTTTAGTTTATAGCAAAGAAATGTTAGGCATGGTTAATTTTGTTTCCAAATGTCAATCAACCCAAGAAAGAATGTTGGGTAAGGTTAGTTTTATAGTTTTCTTTTGCAATGTCGATCATACCATGAAGTAATCTTGAGCAGGTCAGTTTTCTTTTGTAATATCAATTATACACCGTGGAGTATGCAACCAAATACGCAAATCGCGTATTGCAATACCAACACTGTGATATTGGTTGCATACTTGCAATGACAATTAATTAACACACTGCATATGTAAATGTATCGCCCCCCTTAATAATTAGTGATGGAACGGATAGCGATTTTGCGAAAAACTGGATACTGGATATTCGGCATCTCCTCAAAACTTCGAATAATGTTTTCTCAAAAAGTAAAAGTTCAAAACGGGTTGGTTCACTGGAAAGAGGACACTTTTATTAACATTTTGGGAAATTTTCATACCCATCTTCCAAGAAATCGATTTTATACAAATTTTTAAAACTTAATCGGCGAAAATTGCAAAATTCGAAAAAATTATCGATTATTTCAAACATTTATTTCTCAAGAACTGAATGTGATTTTTCAAAACGGCTTGTTGCATTAAAAAGAGAATACTTTAATAATTGGTGATATTTCCACAAGGATCCTTCAATAAATGAATTATATAGCTAATTTTGAAAATTATCGAAGAAAATTACAACATCGAAAATTTTATCAAAACTTCAAACATTGGTTTCTCAAAAACTAAAAGTTATTTTTCAAAATGTGTTGGTTCATTGGAAAGAGTACACTTTTATTAACATTTTGGGAAATTTTCATACCCATATTCCAAGAAATCGATTTTATACAAATTTTTAAAACTTAATCGGCGAAAATTACAAAATTGGAAAAATTGACGATTATTTCAAAAATTTATTTCTCAAGAACTGAATGTGATTTTTCAAAACGGCTTTTTGCATTAAAAAGAGGATACTTTAATTAATAATTGATGATATTTCCACCAGAATCNATTTTCGCTTGTCTTTAAATATTTCGTTTTCTCTTGCATTATGACCATGAAAATTGGTACATTACCATTTTTTAAGACGATAAATAATAATTTGGTATTAGTTTTGATTTATCTTTCAGATGGCACTGCCTGCCTTAAAAACTCCTTTAAAATAGACATATCCTTATCATCGTTAAAATTTTTGCAACTAACACAACTTGAAACAGTTTCCCAGACATGTTCTAAAGTTCTCCGTTTCCAAGATAATCACTGTAAGGCACTTTGCAAAATTTAATTATGCTCAGTCATGGCGTTGAAAATGATTTTATTTCATCAAACACTAGACTAACACCCTCAATTGGCATTAATACTACAGTATTGGCATTAATACTAGAGTATTATTGCTAATTGACAGTGAAAATTATTAAAGAAAAATGAAAATAAAGTATAAACTTTACCCATCTGTAACTTCGTTATTATTAACAAGTAGACTAAGATAAATTGGGTTAAATCGTAATAATTTAATGTAAGGAATTCACTGTTGCTCTGTGTCCCATTAGTAACGGACCAGCCTGTATAAGACGGATGGTTAATAATTTTCAAGGAAAAAATCTTGCAAATAATAAATTGAATTGACACAATAACAACTTTTAATATTTTACCGAAAATTCAGTGTGTCAATTCAAGTCTTTAATTTCTTTCTAGAAAATTATTAACTTTAGAACGCTAACATCTCATACTAAAATTAATTAGTGTTTCAGAAAATAAATTGTAAATTTGGTTAGAAACTTTTTTGTGGACACCTATATTGTCAATTTAATAGTGAAAAAGTGTCCCTTTAAGTTTATTTTCTAACTGCAAATGCGCTCCCCAAACAAACAGCACATAGCGGAATTATGATTTTTTTCCGAATTTTATACACACACTATAATAAAAATTTATTTTAAGGTAAAACCGCAAAATACCGCAAGAATTTTTAGTAAAATCTACAATAGTAGGCCTTATACTACAACACGTATACAATATTACTTTTGAACAATGTTAAACAATTTATTTTTTGCCCATCGAAATATCGTAAAATAAATTATTTTCTCAATTTCCACATATGATGTAATCAAACAATATTACAAAAATACTAATAACCGAATTGTTGCTTTCTGTATATTATACAATTCTTCTTACCACCAGCAATAGGTTCAATGATAAATTTTCGAAATATATAAAAAAAGTGTAAAGGAAAAAATTAATTAAAAACCACAATTTTTACCGACGTTTTATCTAGGTGATATCTGTTTACTAAACAATCAATTAACAACTAAAATATTTTGGCGGCGATTGTTACAATAATTATAAATAAGGTGTTTCAAGGCACCTTGGGGTTTACTTAATCAAATAGCAATAATTGCATTTTCAATCTTATTCCTTAAATTTTTCCAATTTTGGACGAGATTTTTAAAAAATTCGCATGTGTGCGGCGTTTTGCATTAAAAAGAGGATACTTTAATTAATAATCGAAAGTGACAACAGCGCGACAGTTAGTAATGAATGTGATGATGAATTACAAGCGAAGAGAAGTAAACTAGACGAAACTGCTACAAGAGATTTTACATATCGTATTGGGGTTGTTATAATGAGGTTGCTAATGACAAACCTGATATAAATAAAGATGTGTTAAATGAAAAAAGTCCTATTGGGGTTGAACTTGATTATTATCTGCAGTGTCCAACACCTAAAAGAGATACTAATTTCTGTGAATGGTGGAGTACTAAGTAATAGGTTTTTAATATCCGGCCAAAGCCAGATATTTGGTAACTATCCGGTATCCGGCCGGATTTTAAAAAATGGTCGGATAGGCCGAATACCGGATAGTTGCCGGATATCCGTTCCACCACTATTAATAATTAACTCAACGGTATCAGCACCCTCTTTGGTGTCATTGTAATAATTAATGATTTTTTTCCCAGTTTCATCAGACATACTGTTGGTGCGATATGTTGTTGATAACAATAGCATTATTTTTTCATATATAAGAATAAAGGGTTTTACTCCATTTAGAACTAATAATTTAGAAATAATTTAAAATAAATAATTAATAAGATTTCTTTGTGGTAGCATTTTATTGTTCTGTAGACAAAGACAGACTTATCACATATAATTATATTTATAATTTTCATGTATGTATATAATAGTCAGAGTGTTTTACATTGTATTTTTTTGATTCGAATTGACATATAGTACAATATAAGCTCGTTGGTAAAGGAATGGACAGGAAAGGTTGTAAAATAGAGGGAGAAAGGGAATAGTAGTCTTGAGATGCGCGATTTTTAAGCGTAAGCTTCTAAATAGAAGGGTATCACAACAGTTATACGGAATAGTTTATATTTCATACAAGCTTTAAATCAACTTGTTTCGTTTTTCTTTTTTTTTAATTTTTTTTTTGGTACCTAGTAGAGTTTATTATATAGAAGTTTTATGATTGTTACACACCTTTTATGTGGTGGATATGTTTAGTTCCAAAAATTGGGCAACTTAGATTCATTTTTTATTTAAAATATTATCGTTTTTCTCTGTAAAACATTGTAAATACCGATTCGTTTGCAAGCAGTTTTAGTAATTATTAATTACATTTTTTATTTAAGTTATATTTAGCTTATTAGATTAGAAATAAAGCGAATTAACGCTTTAATAAAAGAAAAAAATACGTTAGGGCGGGATACATTGAGTCTCTAGAACATTTATTTTTATAATAATAATATTTATCTTTTTTATATCTCTATAAGTCAAAATGCCAGTTCGTTTACATACGCTTATCGTATTAAACAAATTTTTATAATTGATTGCATCGAATTCGATTGTCAATAAAATGTTTCATATCGAATAGATTAGATTAAAGATTTCGTTAGTTAGGCATAATATTAAAGATTGTCTAATTGTAAGTAAAGGAACTAAAAATCTCGATTGAATTGCCGTTTATTTCGATGTTGTTTTAACAAAGATTCGAAATTTATATTTATATCATATATTTAGTATTTAGTAGCTGAACGAAGTTAAAAATATATTTGAAATCTTTAAAAATATAGCTTTGTTTATAAAGTCTGGCAATTTTGACCAAAATACATATCATTACAAATAACGCCATTATATTTTTATTTAATATTTATAACAAATCTACAAGACATTGAATGTGTTCATAGAAAAGTACATAGTACGTACAATAGAAAAGTTTTTCTAAGCTTCACATTACACGTCGACAAGATGAACGACGAGTTCCCTAAAACGATGAAGATAAATTCCTTTATGTTTCGTTTTTTGCGATTATTTCAATGATTCATTTATTTATTTATTAATCTAAACGCATGTATGTATGTACATTTTGAAAAAATGAACAATGAAAATGTATACGGATTGAGTTATTTAATTTTTTTTTGGTCAGTTTCAAAAACATGTCGTACAACTTGCCATGGTTTCCCCACGTAGAAAAAATAGTGGATTTGTTAATATCGACGTGTTCCCCACGTCAACATTCTTTTTTAATCGTTTAATATAGGAAGAGTTTTTTTTGTTTATAAAACACTACAATTACAACATTACAACTCTTTTCATTTAACACTTATTTTGGTTTATTTCGTAGCAAATCTTTGTCGCTGTTTTCGTACGAAATCTAAAGCTAAACGATCGATTGTTCTTGATTCTAATATTTGGAGTATTGGTTGATCTAAAAAAACAATAATCATAAAAATTACTTTTTAAAAACGATTATTTTAAATACTTTTTTGATGTTGTTGCATGAGCACGAGTTCAACGGGTTTTAATCCGTGAAAATTATCGACGCCTAATCCTGTATCGGCAACGCCGGGAATACTTCCCAATCCCAAAAAAGCTTCGCCGGCGAAATCATTGGCAGTTAACACGTCATGATCCATGACTGTAAATGCGATCATCGCACCCGGGGCTCTACATTGTTCCAACGACACGCTAAATTCGAAACATTCATCGAATATCGGATGGAGTGTTCTTTTGTGAACGTTCGTTTGTTGTTCTGTGCAATGCGGAAATACTCTGTGTGGTAACAATTCGATGATTACGAAAGGATCGCTAAATCCATTTGGGTCTAATGGAATTATTTCGCGTGCGTGTAAAACCTAAAAATTAATTAAATTAGTCAAATTAATTAAGTTAGAGTAAAACCTTGATATAACGGACTTTGAATATAATGGACAAAATATTTTTAAGTCATACTATTAATATTTTATTATACAGGGTTTCCTAAAACTCCCGGGACGGAGCTATAAGTTTTGAACGAGGGAATGAAAAAATTTAACAATTTGGGGATCACTAACGAATTATAAAAACTACACTTTTAGATAGTTTAGAACTTCCATGCGATAAGATTTTAGAGTTTTTTTAGGAGATGACCACCCCTACATTTTTAAATGGCAATCGAGTTTTACCTTATTTTAAAGGCAATGGAAAAAGAAACACAACCCCATAAACCAAAACCCGATATCTTAATTCTTTCAAGAATTATGAGGGGTTGACTACCAAATGGGAAAATGGCAATTGACCGTAGGTGACTTCGAAAGAAGGTTGGAATTCTGTGAAATAGTACGTGAAAAATGTGATGTTGACAGAAATTTTCTTTTGAACATTGTTTTCTCTGATGAGGCTACTTTTTAATTGAATGGTAAGGTTAATAGGCACAACTGTCGTTATTGGCTTGACGAAAATGCACGTTTAATAAAAGAAGGTCATACTCAGAGACCGCAGAAAATTAATATATGGGCTGGTATTATGGGAGAGAATGTAATTGGTCTATTTTTTATTAATGTCCTAATGGTATTGACAATAAGCGGTTCTAACAAGATGGTAGTCCTCCCACATTTTATTCGCGCAGTCCGAGACTTTTTAAGCCGTACGTTTCCAAACCATTGGATTGATAGTAGAGGTGACATTGAGTGGCCACTACGATCTCCTGATCTAATACCACTCGATTTTTTCTTTTGGGGATTTCTGAAAAGTAGAGTGTATGCAACAAAACCAGAATCAATCAATGATTTGGAAAATCGCATACTTGAAGAACCACCAATATCACTTGGTGAATCAAAATTCCATCTATGAGCGTTTGGATTATTGCGAGCATGAAAACATTTTATTTTCCCATTTGGTAGTCAACCCCTCATAATTCTTGAAAGAATTAAGATATCGGGTTTTGGTTTATGGGGTTGTGTTTCTTTGTTCATTATCTTTAAAATAAGGTAAAACTCTACAGGGGTTGCTATTTAAAAATGTAGGGGTGGTCATCCCCTAAAAAAACTCCACATTGCATGGAAGTTCTAAACTATCTAAGAATGTAGCTTTTATGACTCTTTAGTGATTCTCAAATTTTGTTCTTCACTCGTTCAAAACTTATAGCTCTGTCCGGGGAATTTCCGGATTTAAAGATTACATGAGCCTCCTTCCAAACACGTGGAAAAACTCCAGATCGAATCGACCGGTTATATACAGGTGTTCCGTGACTCGACCGACAAACTCATACCATATATTCAGGGGATCATTACGAACAAAAAATGGTATATCACCTATTCCTCTTTGTTTAGGAGATATCGATATAAAAATAAAAATGATAAAAGAAAATTAACACAAAATTATAGCAGCTGTTACGAAAAATTACGAAAGCTAATATAACGCTACGTTATTCAAAGGCGGAATATAAACACAACAAACATGAATCAATGAACTGCCACTACGCATTGTTATGCCAATAGCATCCAGCCCGACAAACCAATCGAAACGTCGGATTACTGAGTACGCCGAAGATACGCCGAACAAAACGCCTCTACCCAACAAATTATTAAATGCGTTATTATATATAACATGTACGAATCCGGAAAAACCTCTGCCGAATATATCCCAGGATGCAGCCAAGTCTCCGTCAGAAAATAACGTCGTGATCAGAGTTTAACACGTTATTGGATAATGTATCCAACTTAGTTCTAAGGCCGCGTACATTTTTGGTAATAAAATGTAATGGCAGACATTGTAAATTATACATGGTACATAATACTTGCATGACAATAGACCTGTCTACATCCTGCTCACATCGGCATCACTTTGAATGTGGATAGGGCGTGCGTCATTACTCTTCCTGACGAAGATCTGGCAATTCCTGGTCCAAACATACTTATAAGATTTTTCTTTGGCTTTACCAAAAAGGATTTTGTTGGCTGGCGTTAAATGTTCATTAATAAAGCAACAATCAGTAACACCCTGGACGAGAGTTCTGGNCGTTTCTAGTTCTCGGTCTAGTGTTAGTTCTAGTTTTACACTAGCACTACCACTAGAACTAACACAAGACCTAGAACTAGAATCATTCGGGTTTAGCCGTCTTGAGAGACGTGCGGCTAAATCCGAATGTTTCTAGTTCTCGGTCTAGTGTTAGTTCTAGTGGCAATGGTAGGTAACGCTAGTTAGTATAAGATATTACTATGTTTTCTATTTTTGTTGAACTAAAACTAGAACTAACACTAGACCTAGAACTAGAAAATATCGGGTTTGAAGACGCACGGCTAAACCCAAAACTTTCTAGTTCTAGGTCTAGTGTTAGTTCTACTTTTACACTAGCACTATCACTAGAACTAACACAAGACCTAAAACTAGAAGCATTCGGCTTTAGCCGTCTTGAGAGACGTGCGGCGAAACCCGAATGTTTCTAGTTCTCGGTCTACTGTTAGTTCTAGTTTTACAATAGCACTACCACTAGAACTAACACAAGACCTAGAACTAGAATCATTCGGGTTTAGCCGTCTTAAGAGACGTGCGGCTAAATCCGAATGTTTCTAGTTCTCGGTCTAGTGTTAGTTTTAGTGGTAATGGTAGGTAACGCTAGTTAGCATAAGATATTACTATGTTTTAGCTTTTTATTGAACTAACACTTGAACTAACACAAGACCTAGAACTAGAATCATTCGGGCTTAGCCGTCTTAAGAGACGTGCGGCTAAACCCGAATGTTCCTAGTTCTCGGTCTAGTCAAGATACCCGTTGTGTCAAAACTATGGGAGATACTTGTCACGAAATGTACAAAAGAGACGTAAAGATGAAGCAATTACCGTAGGAACAGCGTACTGGAATTTTACAGTTCTTTTTACAACATAAAACCGACAGCAAATTGAAGCGCGATGTTATTGGTCAAGCTGCAAGGAAGTTTGATGTTTCCTTACTTACTGTTACGCGTATTTGGAATAGGGTGAAGGAACAGTGCAGCGAAGGAAATATTTGTGTCAATGTGGCTTTTAAAAAAAGGTATTATGGCCGAAAGAACTAAAATTACTGGGAGAATATAGATCTAATATAAGAACTTTGGTTTGTGTGCAGGTTCAGATAGCTTAGGATATGAAAAAGTCCTAAATTAACGCAAAAGCCACAACCATGACTTTACTCCAACTTTATTCCATATTTGGGTTCCAAATCAATCTGCTGATAGCTATTCTTAAGTCTAGAGTTTGAAACCTGTGTAATCTCTACAACTTTCTTCATTACAGTAGGGTTGGGTTGGGTTACGCTTTCTAGAACAATTTGATTTAGCTCATGATTTATTATATTTGGCTAACTGACGTTTAAAACTTAAAAACTTAATTTTGACGGTTTTTGAAAGTTTTCAAAGATACTAAGAACTACAAAATGGTTGTTAATGAGTGCTAAAAGGGCCCAAATTGGTTACAAATACTGTTAGATTACCTGACAAAAACGAAAGAAGTTAATAAAGTTAATGAGAAAGCTTTCCAGAACATTCAAAGATTTTAGAATGTGGGAAAAGGTGATTGGTGAGAATCAAAATAGCTTTAATCGACGAAAAACGCTTCTAGGATACTTAAGAAGGACACAAAATTGATTTTGATGATATTTGAAGGTACTTCAAAGATACCAAAAACTTAAAAATGGTTGTAGGTAGGTGTCAAAATGGCTCAAATTGATTACAAATACTGTTAGATTACTTGACAAAAATGAAAGAAGTTAATAAATTAAATGAGGAAGTCTCCCAGAACATTCAAAGATTTTAGAATGTGGGAAAAGGTGATTAGTGTGAATCAAAATTAGTTCTAATGCTAGTTCATGTTTCACTTATTATTCAGTGTTCTTAGAAAATGAAAAAGTTATAAATTAACGCAAAAGCTATAAACATTACTTTACTCGAACTTTATTCCATATTTGTGGTCCAAATCAATTTGCTAATAGCTATTCTTCAAATCTAGAGTTTGAAACCAGTGTAATCTCGACAACTTTCTTTATTAAGGTGGGGTTGGGTTGGGTTACGTTTTCTAGAACAATTTGATTTAGCTTATGGTTTATTACATTAGGGTAAACGTCACGTTTAAAATTTAAAAACTTGATTTTGACGGGATTTGAAATTTTTCAAAGATACTAAGAACTAAAAACTGGTTGTTGGTGGGTGTCAAAATGGTCCAAATTGATTACAAATACTGTTAGATTACTTGACAAGAACGAAGGAAGTTAATAAAGTTAATGAGGAAGTTTTCCAGAACATTCAAAGATTTTAGGATGTGGGAAAAGGTGATTGGTGAGAATCAAAATAGTTTTAATCGACTAAAACGTTTCTAAGATACTTTATTAAGATAGAAAATTGATTTTGATGATCAATCTTCAAAGATACCAAGAACTTGAAAATAATTATTGTTGGTGTGTGTCAAAATGGCCCAGATTGATTACAAATACTGTTAGATTATTTGTTGGTGGGCTTGGTAGCACTACTAGCCACTGCTGGTAGAATAGTTTGCACGCTTGCTTTAGGGCGGGTTAGTGTGGCTTTCTGCGGGGGTGGAGGAAGCACCCCATCGAGTGTCTGCCTTCTTGTGGCACCACTGGATGTGTGGTTTGAACTACTCCTATGGGGTAACTAACTAAATAGCACTGAATTGCACGGAATGGTAACGGCGTCAGCTGCTATCTACAGCAACTGTTATACCATGTGCTGGAATCCAGCACGGTGGATCTTGGATCTCTTAACCGCCTGGATCGATAGGAGACAACCTCATTAAAAACCCCAAAGTCCTCAGTGTAATCTCGACAACTTTCTTTATTAAGGTGGGGGTTGGGTTTGAAAAGGTTGATTTTGACGGTTTTTGAAAGTTTGCAAGGATACTAAGAATTAGAAAATGGTTGTTGAGGATACAAAATTGATTTTGATGATTTTTGAAAGTATTTCAAAGACACCAAGAACTTGAAAATGGTTGTTGGTGGGTGCCAAAATTGCTCAAATTGATTACAAATACTGTTAGATTACTTGACAAAAACGAAAGGAATTAATAAAGTTAATGACGAAGTTTTCCAGAACATTAAAACATTGGAGGATGTGGGAAAAGGTTATTGGTGAGAATCAAAATAGTTTTCGACGAAAAACGCATCCAGGATACTTAAGGATGACACAAAATTGATTTTGATGATATTTGAAGGTATTTCAAACATACCAAAAACTTAAAAATGGTTGTTGGTGGATGTCAAAATGGCTCAAATTGATTACAAACAGTGTTAGATTACTTGACAAATACGAAAGAAGCCCAGAACATTCAAAAATTGTGTGAAAGACTGTTAAAGATTGTTGTATATAAAATTTGTCATATAATGAACATTCCTTTCATCGTATTAATCCGTTATATCAAAGTTTAACTATAATTAAATTCCATTCCCAAAAAAAAAAGATTTTACCTCAACGCATAATGAATCATGATTAAAATATGCTCTAACAGCTAAACTTCCGTAAGGGCTAAGAGTTGTGTTAAGTTGTTCTTGTAATCTTTGATTATAAAAGATTTCAATTAATGATTCTGTGTCCGTTCGATGATATTGTAGTCTTTGTTCAATGTGCCAGTACATCTCGGATTGTAACATTTCCATGACTAAACCTTGTCCATCAGCGTGGAAAAATTCGACCATTAATTCCAGAGCGGAGTGCAGCCGCTCGTGGAACATTGCGGGAAGCTCTTCGCTATTAGTTCCCCCGTCCATCTGGTAATTTAATTCCGCTAAAGTGTACTCCCAGACCTGTAAAAGACGGTTGCGAGACTGGAAAGATCTTATTTCCGAGTGCTATTTACCTCGTAGAGAATCCGCTGGAAGTTTTGCGGTAAAAGTGCGACATTGAGAGTTTGTAGGTTGCTATGAAGATAATCGAAAAGAGGATCGACGGCTTGGTTAGTTGGGAGCGTATCTGGAGACCATGCGACGTGAAACATCGTTTTCCTAAGGGTATCTTGCATTTGAGGACCAACTCTCTGCAGGATATCCATTACGCGCGCTTGGAGTTGGCTCAGCGTGCTATCTAATTGACTTGTTAAAGTAGCACATTGCGATTCCGATGCTATCGATTCCAACGTAACAAAATCGAAGTAATTTTCTAAAAGGTAATATAAAGTTTTTTAGTGCTAATACACAAGTTTCTCCTTCAACTTGTAATCGTAATAAATCTTAATTCCTTCGGACTTCCGTAAATTGCTCTTATCACCGTCAAAATTTATAGCTCAACTCACCTAATAGCGATATGAACTTGTAAATGTACTCGAGATTATTGGCGGCCATACACATGTCGTCGCTTATCTTGAAAGGTCCTAGCCTGTCGAAGTATCCCGTTTCCATTAAAGCTTGATAAGTTATGTCTGCGTAGAGTAGTGCAGCCGAGCAAATGCAGTCGAGTAGTTGAGACAAGAGTGGTACCGAGTGCACTTTCGGCCACTGAAGCAGTCTCCAGAAATCTCGTAATTGACAGAACATCGCCACGATGTCCACCGCCGAACTACTATGTTTCACCAATCGATCCCCATCGCACGGTTTCTGAAGCTCTACAGCAGTTCGAACCTTAATTAAACGAAAGTATTACTCGTCCATTCAAATGTTAATTTTAAAATTTATTTTATCTTATTACCCTTTGCAAACATTTCCCTTTACATATAGATAACCAACAGCTAACGTGAGGTTCAAACCATTCATGACATTTCGGAAGTAACAACTTGTGATCTCCACCGCTTGGTAAGTTTTGATTGAAAGTGGCAAGGTCCTTCACTTCGAGATAAACTGAAAATATAAGTCTGCTGTCGGGGTGTTCTTGAGTGTTAAGAAACGCTATGATTTCGTCGGCGACTAGTTTGTCAAGTTGTTTGAACACTACGCTGAAATACGGGATACCGTTCGTGCTGAAAAGTTTATAGATAGTTATTATGTTTATTACTATATTTATTTCGACAGTTTTATTTTTATAAAAACGGATTAAATTAATATATCTCAGAAGAATTCTCGAAATAAGCAATTTATAATTTATTTTATAGAGATTGAGGTTGAGCTCGAATAAGGGCGAGGTATTACGTGTCGCGATTGTTTTAAAGTTATTTTTTAAATATGGCAGTTGGTATGCTAATGTCTAACTATCACGAAGTATATTACCGGGTAACATGTGATTAGACGGGGGGTATGTAGTTATTGCTAAATATGGAAATATGAATTTGAATTAGCAGATGGGCTACTGTATGAAATGTCGGACTAGGTACTAATAGTACATTGTGCTATACTGGTGTTGCATCTTTGTTCTGCATTGTGATTATCCCAAACTTACTGAAATCTGGAGAATGCCACTCTATCTGTGCTTCGATTATTGCACGGTTTTGCCGATGGGCGAAACTCCCCGTACAGTTCGACTCCAAATATGATGAGATATCCTAGAGTATCCGCTTAGGCATTTGGGAGTATGTACCACTATCTGCTTAAATATGTTGGGTGAAATAAATGCCAGAACGAGCCAGCTCTGAGAACTCTTCGGAAGTAATCCGGGGTTTTAATCGCACAGCTGCTATCTGACTAAGAGATTTAATCCACGTTTTATCGATTTCTCTAACATTGGGTAAGCAAGCTATTTTGTTTGGGTTCTCCACACCATTGGATATTATCTCTCATATCTTTTTTACTATACTATGTGCCATGCTTAGGCTCGTTACTACCATCTTCTGGTTAAGCTATATAAGTGATTATTACCACGGTTACGGCTATTTTACGCGCTATGATTGGCTAGTAGATGGGTTTATCTATAAGATAAATTTAACTAAAAGATGGTAGTAATGGACCTTAGTAAAGTAATTACATAAGATGTAGTTTATGTGCATATGCAATCCTAATTGATCGAAACTAACGATTACGGGAAGAAAATGTTCCTCCGGATATAGCAGAGAAATTTTCATCGTAGAAAGTAAAAACAGTGCCTAGATAATCTGTTAAGAATGTGGCCGACGACAAATTCAACTTGTGCGCGTGATAATTCCAAGAAGATGATGATAAAGCATATTATTCATCCAATTCGTTATGTTACTAAACGTAAGTTTCGCTACTGGTGATCGAAATCCTCACCAACTTCACCAATTGATGCTTTAAAAGTGACTGACCTTGTGGGATCATTCTTATTTGAGATAAATGACGTTATAGCTATTGTTACACCATAACGTTATTAAGTTATTTAATACTACTACTTTGTTCAACATCTTCCCAATAGTGGGTATTTGATGAGTATGACGTGGCAGTACGAAGTACGTTCTTACTAATAGTGGAACGGATATCCGGCAACTAACCGGTATCCTCTTTTAAATGCAAAAAGCCGTTTTAAAAAATCACTTTTAGTTCTTGAGAAATAAATTTTTGAAATAATTGGCAATTTTTTCGAATTTTGCAATTTTCGCTGATTAAGTTTTAAAAGTTCGTATAAAATCCAGTTCTTGGAATATGAGTATGAAAATTTCCCAAAATGTTAATAAAAGTGTCCTCTTTCCTATGAACAAACTCGTTTTGAAAAATATCTTTTAGTTTTTGAGAAAACAAAATTTGATTTATTGATAAAATTTTCGATGTTGAAATTTTCATCGATAATTTTCAAAATTCGATATAAAATTAATTTCTTGAAGGATCCTTGTGGAAATATAGCCAATTATTAAATTAAAGTATCCTCTTTTTAATGCAAAAAGCCGTTTTAAAAAATCACTTTTAGTTCTTGAGAAATAAATTTTTGAAATGATCGACAATTTTTTCGAATTTTGCAACTTTCGTCGATTAAGTTTTAAAAATTCGTATAAAATCCAGTTCTTGGAATGAGTATGAAAGTTTCCCAAAATGTTAATAAAAGTGTCCTCTTTCCAATGAACCAACCCGTTTTGAAAAATAACTTTTGGTTTTTGAGAAAACAATATTTGATGTATTGATAACATTTTCGATGTTGCAATTTTCATCGATAATTTTCAAAATTCGCTATAAAATTAATTTCTTGAAGGCTCCTTGNAACGTCAAATTCAACTTGTGCGCGTGATAATTCCAAGAAGATGATGATAAAGCATATTATCATCTAACTCGTTATGTTACTAAACGAAACTCTCGCTACTGGTGATCGAAATCCTCACCAATTTCACCAATTGATGCTTTAAAAGTGACCGACCTTGTGGGATTATTCTTATTTGAGAAAAATCTGGCTTTGGCCGGATATTAAAAACCTATTAGTTAGGTGAAGTACTAGTACGAGTGCATTCACAGGAATTAGTATCTCTTTTAGGTGTTAGACACTGCAGATAACAATCAAGTTCAACCCTAATAGGACTTTTTTCATTGAATACAACTTTATTTATCATTAGCAACAATCCCAATACGATATATAAAATTTCTTGTTACAGTTTCGTCTAGTTTTCTTCTCTTCGCTTGTAGTTCATCATCACATTCATTACTAACAGAACTGTCGCTGTTATCACTTTCGATTATTAATTAAAGTATCCTCTTTTTAATGCAACAAACCGTTTTGAAAAATCACTTTCAGTTTTTGAGAAATAAATTTTTGAAATGATCGAAAATTTTTTCGAATTTTGCAATTTTCGCCGATTAAGTTTTAAAAATTCGTATAAAATCGATTTCTTGGAATATGAGTATGAAAATTGCCCAAAATGTTAATAAAAGTGTCCACTTTCCACTGAACGAACAGGTTTTCAAAAATAACTTTTGGTTTTTGAGAAAGCAATATTTGAAGTTTTGATAAAATTTTCGATGTTGCAATTTTCATCGATAACTTGCAAAATTCGCTATAAAATTAATTTCTTGAAGGATCCTTGTGGAAAAATCACCAATTATTAATTAAAGTATCCTCTTTTTAGAGTTGCTTCGTTAGTTCAATCAGCATAAAAAAAATTCATTTTGTATCTTGGATCCAAATAAGTTGATATATCTTGTCAGTAGGGCTCGGATTTTATGCAAAATGCATCTTGTTTATTTTCTGGAATATTTTTTTGAATATTGGTTTCTGGGCGAATTACATAGAAATAACGCACAGATGGTACAATAATAAAATTGCATATTTTTACAATTTTTTTTGTTGTTGCATAAATTGACCTTTTACTGCATATTTTCGTATATTTTGTCATTTTACTAGATTTGTTTAAATTTAAAGATTTAAAAATTTAGATTCAAAGATTTAAGTTAAAAATTAGAGTTTTCAGCGGACTTGCCAATGGTTTGATGACAACGAAATTGTATTTCTCATAAACTTTTACACTAGGAGTTAAAAAAAAAGGGAAATTGTTAAATTAAAACTAAATAAAACTATATTAAATTTGATGTCCCATTTTCTTGGGATATGTTACGAATCTGTTTTATAGCCTCAGATTTAAATTTTTAGTCTGTTAGACTAGTTAGAGTATCTATGGCTAACTTTTTTAATTATTCTTTTTTAAGATAACGTGTGAGAGGAAGTCCCAAATAGAACAACATGTGAAAACTGCAAAACATATACAAACAGGTGATAAAAATAGATTGATAACAATTATAAGAAAGGTATATTTTTGCATATTACCACATATTTTTGCATATTTTTTGCATATGTCGAATAAAAAGCTTGCATATTTCCTATAATTTGCATAAAAATCCGAGCTCTACTTATCAGCTGTCTTATTAATTTTATTTTTCCTCATATATTGCAATAATGTAGCAATATAGGGTATCACTTCAGAAATGCACCAGAAATTATAACCATAATGACCGGATAGATATGCCGTATAACCGGATATCCGCCCGAAGGGGATGCCGAATATCCGATATTCGGATTTTCGTAAAATCACTATCCGTTCCATCACTAGTTTTTACTATTCTGGAAAGTTTCAAGATCTTTTGCAAAAATTTGTTCGACCCCATTCTATAGGCAAAGTATCAGAAATGCGACGGTTCAACAGATATCGTATTAAAAGTTAGGCGATACTTCCTGCAATTACAATCAATATGTAACGATGTTGAATGATGGGTTAGCAGCTCACTCTTGATAACAGAAGAATCATCCTAAATTAACCTAGCATTTGGTATTTTAATGGAGAAATGAGGTGGTGAACTACGAAATAGAATAGAACCTTTCAAAAGTGTGAATCTTTCTAGAAACGATGACTGAGGATTTAAGATTGATATTAAGTTGACTATGGGGTAGAGTCTGAAGCAAAAATATTAGGGAATATTCAAGTTCTCCGGCGTATTCAAGTTTGGTTGCTGTTGCCAATAGGTCTACAAACTAACTACAATTCTAGTTAGCATAGTCATCGTAGACTCGCTATGAGTGCTCAGCTTTTCACACCGCATTTTTCATCGCATGAGATTGCAAGTAGAACATTTCGACGCTCCCAACGAAGACTGTACTAACTCAAATTTTGAACTTTGGAGATAAATCAAGTAAAACTAAAAACCAAAAATAATAACAAAAAATTTGAGTTAGTACAGTCTTCGTTGGAAGCGTCGATTTATCGTTGGATATGTCAATAGTGTTACAGAGATAGAGTTGCTTTGCTCACTTGCCTATATCCATAATTATAATCTGCCATTAATTACCTGAATGACCCATGTTGCCACAGTATCAAACTTTCAACGTCATGGAGTGCTATCCTGTTAAAGGTCTTGTATTAATTTTTTAAGTTTTTTATTGCAAATTTGAGAGACTTAGGAAAACTTCCAGTATTTGAGATTTTTCTGAATATTTAGACTTTTTTACAGATGGGATCATGAAAAAGAAAAAATGGTAAAATTACCACACTAAACCCTTAGAAACCTGCGTTACTCCAAAGACACATTTAGTCTGATTTAATGGGATTTTCTGCTTCCTCAGTCATTTATTGGCTTTGTTTTTCCAGTACCTATCATTACACAATCATACAGAATTTTACTAATAAAGTCTAGTAGAATTTATCAAATTGTGTAAAATAGAGTTCTTCTTCCACCTATTTTAGACATGTTCCTTTGTTGATTTATGAACTCACAGCCAAAGTGTGTCTTGTGATGCGGACTTCCAGTAGTCCTTTCATTTAGGTTGTATTCCTCGTGTTAGGGTACCTACTGATTTTTGCTCTAATATTATACGCGGTAATTTGCTTTTATTCATCTTCTTCTTTTTTGTCTCCCCCATCTTATCATATCTAGTGTATTTGCACATCATTTTGCGTTTCTGTCCTGATCTTCTGCGTAGCATATCATACTGACTTTATCCTACAGCGCTCATTCTAAAGCCCAAATTCAACGACGACACCTCCTATGTAATTTTGTCCATTACCAGATTAAACAGGAATGGGCTTAAAAGCTATCCTCTTTTCTCATTCCGTCTGGTGTCGGAATATGTCGAATGTTCGCCTGTTTTAATCCTTGCCATATTAGCTCTGCATAGGATTTGGATTATTTAGAATGGATTGCATGACTAAAATTCTAAGCAGATTGGGTTGGGTTTTGCCGATCGAAAGCCTTAATTTCCGGAATAAATAACTATCATCTATCTTCTCAAAATGAAGGTATTTTACGCGTATCATTTAACCAACGTTTATATGTGCATTAATGAGGGAGTCACTTCTTACAGCACTTCTAATGTGCTCTTCCATTCGTACATTTGCTACACTTGGCAAAAGCGCCCTTGGACAACCTAAGAATGAGAAAATTCGAAAATGAATACTAGAGGAGTATATTTTTAATTGAAGAGATAATTATAAAGATTACCTATATATTTTATTCTTATATTTATTAGAATAACTTATGTGAGATTTATTAATCCGATTGTATAAAACTGTCGAAATAAACTTGGTACGTTTATTTCGAGAATAAGCGTTTGTTTCTTTTATTTGGTCATTTGTAACCGAACCGTACCCCTCGAATATCGGATGGTAGTGAGAAAGAGCTTGCTGCAAGTGGACGTATATTTCGGAACAAAATTGTACGAAAAAGTTGTCGTAGTCGTGATTGAAATTCAGGATGGAATTTTTCAGATAGGTCACCCATTCTGGCGTGCCCTTCCTGAGGGTCATTACTATTTCCCCGCGGATTTCTTTGTTGAATGGGCAGCATTTCCAGAACGCTTTCTGAAACGTATCAATAACGAAAATTGGAAAACGGCTTTGATACGTGCGCAGAAAGGAAATAATTTATTTACCATATTTGATAAGTACGCCAAGCACCTTAAAACGTACTCCAATCGCGTTAGACAAGGTGTATGAAGAGCCGGGAAAAGCTGTCTATGGTGACGAAGTTGGTGTAACCATCGTTCTGTAGATATTCGATTTCATGGTTTTAATACAATTATTTAGAAATTTTATGGTACTTACCTAGCATAGCTGTAAAACTTTCAGCAAGCCACATTTCTTCTTCTCTAGTTAATGTTGCTGATGACCAAGCGTGTTCGATATCTGTGAGCAACTGCAACATCCAATGCGGGTCTAAAGGATTCTTAAGGTATACTCTGGAAGCAGCTACAAAATGAGCTATCGCGGCTTGGAGATCTGTTAAATCACCTGTTGGAAAGTAGTAGAAGTGTCTAGCGATAAATGAATCTACTTGATTATATTAATTAATTTAATTTGATGCATCTAAAATGTGTACACAATCTATATATCTAAAGTAAATCTGAAACGTATAATGTGTTGTCATCGGTTTAAACTTTAATGTACGTACGAGCTCGCGAAATATTCTGCTTGCATACTAGGATTAGATAGGATTACGTGAATTTGCGTTTCCAAGAAACTTCTCAGTAATATTACCAAGATAAATAAGGATAAGGATTTCGTCGTCGTTTGTGTTTCGAGCGAAACAGATCAATATGTATGAAAAGAAGAATAAAATGGATGTATCCTTTAATATTAAAGCAAGTACGAAACAACATCGTCGAAAAGTTATATCGTAGCGCCTTGTAAATTCCAATTTTTCAGAGTGTAACATCCCGGCAGACAGATAACGGTCATTTCCAAGAAACAAACGATTCACGTCACCGAGAATCTCAAGAAATCGCACTCTTCCGCTGAATCGTATATTTCAAGAATGTACTTTATTTTATCACTTCTAAAATCAACAAAGCGACAGATTTAATTATAAGGGAAAGGTTAAGTTTTCTCGAAAACATAGCTGAAATGAATTGCTTTCGAAGTAATTGCAGCACCACTACCGGATAATTGCCGTATCTAATTTTCCGGTGTGACGATGGGATATCTCGAGGTTATGGTTTACAAACTTTACTAATTATCGGGAGCTGCGTGTTATTACGAAAACGGTCAAAATAGAGGGGATTAAATCTGACACTCCATCATCCCCATTGGTTTTAGTTTTTGGGTTATAATCGATCGAATCGATTAATAACTTACCTTGAACGGCATGTTGATGCAGAATAGTTAAAGCGGGACCAGGTAAATCTCCATTCCAAGTCCACGTCTCTTTACTCCAATTTCGCAATTCATAATCAATAAACGTCGCATATAAACTTTCGTGTTGCATCAATTCCGTCCAATTATCCTCTTCGGAGATTCCGCGATCTTCGCGAGTTGATAGCCACATTTTCAAGCGTATCCTTCCTTGAACGGAACTTCTCTGCGACCTAGCTTCCAATTTAAACCAAGATTCGAGCCCCGTCGATGGGATATCTTGAAGAGGAATTGTTACACATCCTAAGAAATCATCTTGTGCCGACGATTGTCTAGCACTTTGACAAACTTGTTTGAAAAATCGTCCCAAACCCCTCACTCCTCTAACTTCGTTCAGTTTACTCACTGCTTCTAGAACTGAGCTTTCATCGTCGTGGTCCCAGATGTCTAAATGGAGGGAGTCGCTGTTAATATCATCGATGTCACTAAAATTAAAAAAAAAAAGAAAAAAATCGCATTGAAAGAAAATATTGAAATGATTTCTAAGGATTGAGAAAATGAGAAAACTTTGAAAACTACGAAACCTCGTTTTAAAACGTATAAATTTAACGTTAATTAACTTTCAGCAACTAATTATGAATAATTTCGCGTCTTTATAAATGTGATGTATAATGAGACAAAAAGGAATACTTGTATCTACATGCTTTTACCACGTAAAAGTTTCAACCAAAAGTTACTTGTGGATGTAGACACACACCGTGTAGTTGAGCCACTTTGAGGATCCCGACGAATTTGTGCAATTTCCCCGTCGAAGTTGAACGTGTAAACGTCTCTTGTAAAGTTTAAAGGCAAGATAAACTTGAAAGCTCTTATCCCTCACAAAATTTTTTTATCTCGCTTAATTAACCCACAAAGTTATATTTTCATTAATTTTAATGATGTATTTAATAACGATCCTTTTCAACTGAAAGAATATCTTCTTATATATTTTTTTTTCGTTTTCGTTTAATAGTCGTGTTAAACCTGTCTCTCTTTAAGAGTTTTCTCAACGATACAATACACGTAACAATGGGCGGCTTACCGTATCAGGGCTGCACACGAATAGTTCCGTGTACTGAAAACCAGTTGAAACCTGTGAGCGATCCCAATTAGTGTTGCCCATTACCTGTTCCAATAGGAAGTTGGAGCGCGCTCTAATTATCCCAGCACGAATAAAATCCCGAAAATTACCAGTCCGACCATGCCACGGTCAAATGAGTTCCAGGTATTCTTTTTCGTACTTGTATTTACACAGTTTTAGATAATTCTACTGTGTTTCGTATAACAACTAGTATAGAGACATAATAATAGGGACATAAGAGTTTGTTTTTAATTTTATCGTACAATATTTCATATATGCAGATGTTGTTCAGAACTACAATACAATACAGAAGTACAATAAATAAATTGAAATTATAGATAATGATCCAAATCATTCCATGATATTCACAGAAATTTGGAATCTTTCAAACACATCTCAAAAATTGAAGTTTAGAGCAATTCCATAGTTAAAAGATGTGTACTGCAACTGGAATGAATTGAAAACCCGATACTATTGTATTGGAATAAATTTTATTGAGTTGGTCAAGTATGGATCAGAGATATTCCACGAATTTTTAGCAACACTCTCCAACAGGTGTTACATTGAACTTACATCAACCCAAATTTCAAAAAGATAATACAAGGTTGTGCCAAAATAATCAAGACATAAGTGAACTTGTTTTGTGTGGCAGTCTTATATAATCAAAGTCTTAAACGCAAAGCGAGACATAAGACAACCCTCTAAGAAAATTAAATTGGGAATAGAGATGGAAAACAACCATTTTTTCTTTGCTGATTTTGACCAAGTTGTAGTAAATGAAGAGATATTGACTTTATGTTTAGGAAACTCAGAAGTATACCAAATACATCTTGGATTCAAGGGATCAGACAGATCTTGGCTGATAGAGGAATAGAGAAGAATGCCAAAATGAACCTTTTGCACCACCACAATTTTAGAAGGGTGATACTTCATGTTTGTTCAAAGTGTTCATAAATCGAGAAATTGATCATCGATTCTGTCCAATTGGCTCATAACTGTTTGCAATAGCTTTCAATAGGTTACACTTAGTTGCTGGTAATTTAAACGTTGAAAGCGTTTGCTCAAAATGTTCATAAATTTGTCATAAAAAATGATATTCTGGGTAAACGTTTTCTTTTCCAAATTCATTCTTCGCTCATTTTTGGTGTACATGATATTGTGTTACAAGGTGTCTTTTTGAAGATTAAAAATACGATGTGTCCAATGGTTTCGAATTTACACCCAATGTCAATTCTTGAGATATGTTTAAAGAATCGTGTGCTCGTTGTGTTTATATGAACAGTATCGCATTCCATACCTAACTGTAAGATATGTACTGCAACTATATTGAACTTACATCAACCCAAACTTCAAAAAAACAATACAAGGTTGTGCCAAAATTATCAAGGCATAAGAGAAGTTGTTTTACCAGTGAACCTTATAGAGTCGCAGTCTTAAACGGAAGCAAGGGATTTACCCACCTATTTAACAGAAGAAGCATGGAGAAGACAACTTTCGTAAATGGGTATAGATGGAAGACAACCATTTTCTTTGCTAATGACCAAGTTGTTGTAGTAAATGAAGAGATACATGTTTAGGAAACTCATGGAAGAATATGAAGTGGTTGCTGAATATCAATATGGATAAGATAGAATATATTGTAATAAGAAATGACATGAGATATAGAAATATAGATATTTGGGTAGCATAATTTCGGACCATACTCCTTATTATGGTCAAATCAGATTAAACTAAAAACAAAAATAACAAAGTACCGATCAGTTGTAGACTCAATTTTAACATACTTGTTGGAGTGCTTGCAGCTTATTACGAAAAACAGAAAACAACTTGAAATAGGTTTTCTGAATATCAAAACAGAAAAATGTCCCAAATGAGACAATTGGCAATTGATGGTGAAAACCAAACAGTTGATATGATTTAAGCATCTAAAGAGGATACCCGAAAACCGATGGCCTAAAAGAGCTCGAGGATGCGTACCTCAACATACTAAAAGGAGAAGTAGACCAAATACATCTTGGATGGATTTTCTTTACTGATGACCAAGTTGTTGTAGTAAATGAAGAGATATTAACTTTATGTTTAGGAAACTCATGGAACAATATGAAATGGTGGCTGAATATCGATTGCCAAAAAGAGTCCTTCGATATGTATTTCAACATACTAAAAAGAGAAGTGGACGAAATACATCTTGGATTCAAGGTATCAGACAGACCATGACATTCTGGGTAAGCGTTTTCTTTTTCAAATTCATTCCTCGCTCATTTTGTGTGTACATGATAATGGTTCCGAATGGCCCATAACTATTTGCAATAGCTTTCAATTAATTCAAAGTGACGACAGGTTACACTTAATTGCTGCTAATTTCAATGTTGAAAAGAATGTATTTGGATTATTCCATTTTTTAAATTACATAAGTTGATTCCAACTTGATTCCCAATTGCTCCAAGTTGCTTCCTTTTTGGTTTTGTATGGCTTTAACTAGCTCTCAATTGAATATAATTGTTTTGTATTACGTTTAACTGATTCAAAGTATTTCTAAATGGTCCCAATGGCTTTCGAGTTCATTCTTTGTAAATCAAAATTACCTTAATGGAATTTAATGTACTTTAAATAGCTCCTCCTAGGATTTTTTTTTTAGGACTTTATTTCAATCCTATTTGGAAGTTTTTCGAAAACAATAATAAATTGCAACATGTTGAGCCTTACAAATACAATAAATATATTAGAACATAACAAACCTAATAAAAATTATTATCTTTTTATTTATTACATTAATAAAACTGTAAATAAAACTTAGACTCTTTCCATCTAAGTTTGCTGTCCTGAGTCTCATACCTATGTACTTGGCATTGTTCTCACATGGAACAATGGTGTCATTTATGTCTAGAAACTGTAGGACTTTTGCAGTTTATTTGCCAAATTGATATGGACGGATTCCATCTCGTTTAACTTCATTGTCACCAAACTGCAAACGTGTTCTAGTCCCCTCCAACTCTGGTATGTCATTAGTATATAGTAGATACAAAGTAGGACCCAGTACACTTCCTTGAGGCACTCCTGCTTTTATCTCTTTTTAGTTCAATCTCAGTCTGTCCATGCAACCTCAAACCATTTACTTCTCGCAATTCTCGTTATGTCGTCTATCCATCTTCTTGGGGGTCTGCCCGTAGTGCGCTTTGCTATTCTTAGTCCTCAGCTCGTCACCCTCGCTATCCATCTGGCTACATAATTCATCCAATGCCACTTTAGCCTCGTGACTCGCGCTGAAAAAATGAAGTACCCGATGATGCACGCGAGCTGCCGAGAAGGAAATAGAAGATAAAGGAGGCCAGGGCTCAATTTGGGATGTAGTTCTGTTTTTGTAGCTTTTGTCGACCAAGCATAGATAGCACTTGTGCTCTCTACATGACCTACAATTGGTTTGCACTTTTTTTCTGCCACCGCCATGATTACTAATCCATAAGTCGCCACTAGTAGTACGCAATAATTGTAAATTTATGTTTGAGGATTAAAAATTTTTATAAAATCTGAGAGCACCGCTTTAATTTATTTACAAATTTAATATTTTAATGTCGTAAGATGTTTCGTCATCGTATTTGTTATACATCAACATGAAATAGATTTTCTGAGTATCAAAACAGGAACATGTTCCAAATGAGACAATTGATGTAATGAGGATACCCGAAAACCGATGGCCAAAAAGAGCTCGAGGATGTCTACCTCAACATTTTGGATTCAAGGGATTAGACAGACCATGACAACTGATAGAGGAATAGAGAAGCATGCCGAATTGAAACTTTTGCACCATCATGTTTGTTCAAAGTGTTCATAAATCGAGAAACTGATCATCGATTCTGCCCAATGGTTCCGAATTGGCTTTGCAATAGCTTTCAATAGGTTACACTTTGTTGCTGTTAATTTAAACGTTGAAATGAATGTATTTGGAATGTTCAATTGCTCTAAGTGGTTTTGTATGGCTTTAAGTAGCTCTCAATTGAGTATAATTGTTTTGCATTAGGTTTAACTGATTCAAAGTATTCCCAATGGCTTTCGAGTTCATTCTTTATAAATCAAAATTAACTTAATGGAATTTATTGTACTTTAAATAGCTACCAAATACTTTTTATGGTTTCAATGTAAAATGTTTAATTTTGAGATTCCCCAAAGGGTAACCCAATAAGTTTATTTCAATCCTATTTGGAAGTTTTTCCAAAACAATGAATTGCAACATGTTGAACCTTGCAAATCCAATAAATATAGTAGAATATAACAAAGCTAATAAAAATTATTATCTTTTTATTTATTACATTAATAAAAGTGATAAAACAAAAGATACCGTTGTTTTTATTGCCATTAAAGTAAAGATCAATTTTCAAAAGCTTGGTATTAAATCATCCATTAACAATACTCATTAGCTAATGACAGCCGTCAGCAATTTCACGTTAAACCGAGCAGAACTCGTGGACTAACGTAGGCCAAAGCTTTAGTAAATCCTCACTAATGGATCATTAAGATAATAGGTTCTTAAGAACCAATAAGTACGGTGCTTTAAAGAGTAATCTTTTATCTTTTTTTTTTAAGTAAACGATTTAATAGAATTAGTTTTTTGTATAGTCTTTGTACGCTTGATTTAATTCCTAAAATATTGATTCGGACAAAAAGGTTTTAACTTTAACGCCAACGACATCGTTTATTTGCATAACGCGAGATAGAAAGAAAAGTCGAAGAAAAGGAAAGCTGATGACTTACAATCTAAATTTCTCATTCCAACGGGGGTTGAGGGTGTGGGGTTTCACGGACGTTGCTCTGATGAACTTGGCGGGTAAAGCGCCGCCGATACTGTCCCGGTGTTCCCGGACACGACCGTCCTTCCTCTTAAAGCTCAACTTAAAGCTGTGGTGCTTCCGTAATTTCTCGTGATTGCCTTGAATGTCCCCAGGGCCACACGCCGCCGCCTCTGAAAGCGTACGATTCGGAGTGGGCGGTTGCGGGGATGATGGTGGGGCAACAGGCTGAATCCCTAACATGCAATACGGGTCACTGAAACCTGTTAACAGAGAACAGAAGATGGAGAGCGGAGTTCAATTGTAAAGTTTGGTGTTGGGCGGTTGAAGAAACTTGCACTCTGTTCAACTATCGATTTTAATAATAATAACTAACATTTGCAAAAAGATATTTTCTTATGCAAATAGTTATATTAAAGTAAACATATTAGCTGTTTAAACATTGGCGAATGTTTACATTGGTTGAAGTTGTAGGTGGGTTAAACAATGTGATAGGTGGGTTAAATAATGGCCTAAACAAACTTAAAGTTAAAACTATAATTTAATAAAAAAAAATGTAAACATTATAATTTATAGCTGATTCGGTGTATAAATTATAAATGTTTCCCGCCTGGTGTTAATTGGTACAGTTCACTGGTAAAGTTTTAATTTTTAGCAACTGAAACTAAAATTGAAAAGGGAAACATAAAAACAATAAAAAGTACGGCCCACTTCGTTTTCCAATTAAAATTGAATCGTTGTAACTGAAACGTAATCCTTTTACCAGTAGAATTAGTTCAACATTGATTTTCTCTTTTAATTCAAACTTATTTTTCCAGGAAAGGACATTTTAATGTATCAATAAATCCCCTTACACGAAATTATTTAACTGTATTTACTTCCTTCGATAAAGCTTTTCCAATCTCAACGAGTATTATTGTCAGATCCAGCAATAAAACTGATTGATAGAGGTACAATTGACTGAAAGGATGTGATATTTTTCAACGATTGGCTAAATCGATGGTGAAGCGTAGCTTTTAATCAAACCGCCTCGCGTAAAGAGCGCTTTAGATTACGTCAAACAAAGGTATACTTTTTTTTAGATTTGTACATTTAACTTTATTACTACTTTTTACCATTTGCGTCTTTTGCCTCTAGTCCTTCAGCTTCGAGCACGACGACACTTAATACTACAATGGGTGGTTTTTCTTCGCCCGCCATGTGAAGCATTCTGTAATGTCTATCCGGTGGCACTCCGAAAGCTCTTTGTCCGTACAAGTAAAGGTCTTCTTTGTAGTGAGCAAATTGACCACCTGGAGCTGGTGCACCAACCTTTTAAAAAAATATAAAAAAAAGTTAATAATTATAATTTTATAATGGATTCAATTTTATTTTTTTCTGGATAATAAGATTAACTGCATAACAAAGGAAACTAAGTAACAGGAGCAAAACTATGGTTGGTTGCGGCGAGTATAAAAAGAACAAGATAGTGCAGAAAAGTCCTAACGAAAATTGGCTGGATGGACTTTTCGCATCGACCAGGGCGTAATGTCCCCATGGAACCATCCATTAAAGTGAGTGTTTAAGCCGCGGGAGGAAATGAAATGAACGCCAACCCACTGGTGATGCTATATAGTAAATGAGGTTAAATAAAGCTGAAAACTGAAACGAACTCTGTGAGAAACGGGAAGACCTAAGAGAATTGGGTCGATTGAGGAACCTGTAGAGACAGACACCTGTGTGAACTTTGATAGATTTTCGAAGAGGAGGAAAGCTGTCAGGCGAATAAATTTCGTGTTAGGTGTGGAGAAGGTTTCGATAAAAGAAAAGACGATGGATTAGTCAACTTGATATCCTGGGTTTTCTATCTAACTAAAAGAATTTCGAGTAATCGATAAGAATAAAAAATATTATTGTAAATAGATATAAAATTTTAGTTCAAATCAACATACTAAAAAGACTCAGAAACAATCCAATTAGGAATTTGTTTCATGATTTCATTTTTACACGTTAAAAAACTTTTCAAAACAAATAAATTAACAGTGAAAGTGATAAAAAAAGATTATGATGCAGAAGAGAAAACTGCAATGAATATAATATTTTTTCTATAACAGCACTGGATTGCCAATTAAAACTAATATTATAAATTAACTGTTAATTTTTATCTCAACTCTCTATACAACATCCTATACAAAACAAGATAATGTTCATCTTTTCACTTCCCTTCATCGGACGTGGCATTGCCTATCCAGTAGTTGAAGAGCCTCTGCGTAGTCATAGAAGTGAAATCTAGCTTCAAGCTTCTTAGCAAATATTTTAATGAAAGAATCTGGAGGTGTTCATATATATATGTATATCGGAATTTCACACATACCAGGAGACATTAAATTTGTTTCGTAGCACTTTATTCTGGTATATTTGAATACACATGATGTTCGAGTCGCTGACAAAACACTAGAGCTAGATGCCGTTGTGTCATATTGGTCTGACTGTAAATCTGTAGTTTGTTGGAGTGACTCTTTCCACATAAGTTTGGATACCAATCAGAGTCATACCTATGTACTTGGCATTGTTCTCACTTGGAACAATGATACCATTTATGTCTAGAAACTGTGTGACTTTTGCAGTTTATTTGACAAATTGATAACTGCTGATCTCTCTCTACTGCAAGCAATGTTGTGTCATGTACGAACGTGTTCTAGTCTCCTCCAACTCTGGTGTGTCATTAGTATATAGTAGTGATTGATACAAGACCAACAAGACGAGATTTTCATAAAGTCTCGCCGATTAATTAATAAGTCTCGTATCAAGTCTCGTCTCGCAACCTCCGCTCTCGTCTCGTCTCGTTTCTCGTACGAGAGTCTCATAAAAGTATCGAAATCTCGTCATACATAATCTTATTGTTTCAGTGTAATAAGAAATACTTAAATACTTGGTATAATGTAAGAGTCGGAAGAGAGAATTACAGCACTCAGCCCTGTCGGTCGCAAATGATAGGCATAACAAACATCGTGTTTTCTTGTAGTTAATGCAGCACATGAGAATAATCTTTCCGCTGAGACTGAAGTAGCCGGTATGCTTAAGAGATGACGTGTCATTAAACTTAAAATAGGAAATTCAGAAGCATGCATTTTCCACTATTGTAATATATCTGTGTCTTTATTACACCGAGGCATAGAATAATATTTTTGAAGATGCCTGCATCCAGTCTCCTTGGGAAAGCGGATTTACTGCATACAAAACTACAAAATCAATTACAAAAACCGCCTTTTCCACTCTAGAAGCTTCTCGTTCCTTCAATGCCGTTACTTTGGAAGGTTGGCCTTCTGATTGATGGAAATAGGCTTTTTATACATCTTCAAATTTCTGAATCGAAGTATCTTTTAATTCTTGGCTCCATCGTGTCATATCAAAAACTTCGATCTTATGCCGCGAATCGAGAATTAAAACTGCAGCATAAATCTAATTAGTTTTACGATAATGGTTTAATATTTTGTCTCTCGCAGCCTGAAAACTAACAATCAAGAGCAAATACTTTGCTGTCAATATTATCTATTAGTATATTGATACATACAATCACCATAGGTAATTTGACGTACTTCTCTCCTCCGAGTTTCTTGGAAAGTATTTGAAAGTTGACTAGTAATTTATGCACTTCCTCTAGCAGTATCCATTCTTTGTCCTCAAGAGCAATGGTTTTAAAATCAACAACATTTTGACACATTGCACCAAGTCCATGTTTACCTTCAAGAGGTACTTTCAACATATGATTACTGGAAATCCAATGTAAATACGAAAATATTGACCTCATGCACGAGACTCGAGACGAGACCAATGAAAGTCTCGTTTTGTCTTGTCCGAGTATCGTCTCGAAAACGAGACGAGACCATGCGAGACTCTCGAAAACGAGACTCTCGTACGCACCACTAGTATATAGCAGATACAAGGTAGGACCCAGTACCCTTCCTTGAGGTACACCTGCTTTTATCTCTTTTTGGTTCGAGCATTCATGTCTGTCCAGGCAACCTCAAACCATTGCTTCCCGCAATTCTCGTTATGTCGTCTATCCATCTTCTTGGGAGTCTTGGGGGCCCGTAGTGCGCTTTATTATTCTTGGTCCTCAGCACGTCACCCTCGCTGGCCATCTAGCGTGGTCTTATCTCGCTTCATAATTCATTCATTGCCGCTTTAACCGTGATGTACGTGAGCTGCTGAGGGTGAGAATGTGGTAAACGGCAGCAGCAAGCAGAAGGAAATAGAAGATAAAGGAGGCCAGGGCTCAATTCATGATGTAGTTCTCTTTTTTTGATTTTTGCTGACCAAGCAAAGGTAGAACTTGTGCTTTTTACATGACCTACAATTGGTTTGCACTTTTTTTTGTCACCGCCATGATTACCAATCCATAAGTCGTCACTACACTCACATTAATTGTATATTTTACGCTTTAAGATTGAAAATTTTTATAAAATCTGAGATCACCGCTTTAATTTATTTACAAATTTAATATTTTAATGTTTGTTATCGTATTTGTTATGCATTAGCTGTGATTCCCAACAGATTGATTGTATTACTCGTTCATAAAAAATATTTTTGTTTTTAAATATGACCGGACATTATTTTTGCTACTCCTTATATCACACCTTTAACCACTTTGAAGGAGTGCATTTATGTTTAGTACACGTTATATATAGATATTGTTACTATAAACGTAACCGTAAAGGCATTATGCAGAAAACATGTTCAATTAAAACTAACATGCAGGTTATACGCAGATCACCCACGGTTAATTTAACAAGTAGAGTAATACTACTATTCAGGTTCTTTGTTGCAGATACACGGTGGTATAATATAGGATATAATTCCATGGACGTGAGCCATTATCTTACCCTCTCCCAGCACTATCTCTATGGTTGTTCTTTTGCATTGTTCACATTCTTTTATTGTAGTTGTGAAATAATTACCTCTATCGGAGCTAACCAAAATTTATATTTTAATACAAGGCTTAACTTGTCTTCTTGAAAACAATGTGTAACCTTATATGCTTAATAATAAAAGTGCCTAGAAAAAGTTTTGGTAAAAATAGTGTAAAAAGAGTTCATCTAAAGTTGGTTTATTTGCATTTGAAATTGGGTCAACCATTGTGCCGCACCCTCTATATTAAATTTTTCTGTATTTTAAGAGAATATTAAAAAAAAACTGTAATCCGCTTAAGATAATAAGGATCTAGAACAACGGAATAACTTGCGTGATAAATGCTAACCTAAGCGAGAGACCAGTAAGTCTTAAATTTATAGGTATCCTGAAGTTTTATAATAAACGTTCCTTTAAATTTATTCTAATCTCCACCAAAATTTTGGCAATAAAATCGAAAACTTACCGCATTTGCAATCGTATAAAGCATTTCAACATATAATTTATCCTTTTCATTTTGCGGCATGCTGTAATCAATAGGTGTAATTCCCACTTGACTTTCATGCGGGGGAACGGCTACAATTGCATCTTCAGCGGCTTTCAGTACACTTTGCCTTTGATTTTCTTGCTTCCACGCGAGCGCAGGAAAGCTCTCAAAATAAGAACCATCGATATCTTGTACTCTGAAACAAAATAGAAAACAAAATCCAGTAACACGTCGATATTGAATCGAATTAAATTACTAACTAAGTCTTGGCAGAATTAGATCGCTAGAAATTGGATGAGAAATTGGTGCGGAAATGACGAAAATTTATCATATTTTATTAAAACTTATTGGTTTTAATTAGAGTGGCGAATCAGGTTTCAATTTCTTGGGTTGTCGTGGATTTTCCGAGAAAATAAATGCTCGGCTTTATTCCCTCTACAAGCATAAGTACATCACGTCAATCCGCTTACTCTTGGTATGACCGAATTTGGGACTCCCTTCAGAAAATTTTTCATTTCATTCTTACAAAATTAAAACCCTACGAAGATTTATTCTATTACATTTTGTAATTGAACCCCTTCTGATCATTTAAATTTCAAATGTAGTGTAATTAATTTTAACCCTCTTGTTTTATATTTCCATATAATTAGCAACATTTTGGACATTGATCCAATTCTGTTTCAATATTAAATTAATTTTTGGAGTTTCTCAATTAAATGATTATTATACTTGACAGTAACGATCTTCACAGAATGAAATTATTATAGCAATGTATTTTAGTTTGACCCAAAACCGTATACCTACATTACTACCCGCATAATACATTTGCACTTACCCGAAATCGATTTTCTATTGGTGCAGAGTAACATTTCAATAAAGCAATGACATAGTGCGGTATCGAATTTCTGTTTAACCAGTTGTACGAATTAATATGATGTTTGACAATAATAGTGCAGATTTCATGTTTGTCAACAATAGAACAGTTATCATGTTTGACGATAATAGTACAGAAACTACTTAGCTGTAATTGAATTCATACATAATGTTTTTACCACTAAATAAATATAAGTAAAATAGTAATTTGTTTTGAATAAATTTTGTACCCCAACAACTAATTGTTTTTGACACAAAGAATTCTTATTACGCGAGATACAATTCATTCACCTTATCACTCCTATAATAATGAAATCTTTCATAAAATATCTCAAAAATAACTGAAAATGCAATAACTATCAAACCCAATGCAGACTTAAGCCCCATTATCATTACTTATTTTAGCAGCTAATTTTGGCTATGTAATTTTGACATATTATTTTATTTGTTTCTAACAAAAAAATATATGCTGTTCAAACAAGAAACAAATTATCTGATGCATATGGAGAAGCTGCATTACCAGAACGCGAGTGTCAAGGCTGGTTTGCAAAATTTCGATCCCGCAATTTTGAAATCGGCGAATAACAACTCGTGAGATCGCTGAGTGATTAAATTTAGCGAAGTGGACCTTCATGATCTAGGTTCTTCATGTTCTTAAGGAAAGAAATTTGTGCCGTAGTGTAAACTTCCATGATTCGTCAAGAAAATGATCCATTTTAAAATCTACAAAAGACTACAACAATGTTGTCTACAAAAGAGAATAGGTATTTTCAGCTTCTACCAGATAACACAACGATCAATCCTGAAGGGTACTATCATCAGTTGGACAAATTGAATGATTCAAACAAACAGAAAAGACTAGAATTGATCAATACAAAAAGTGTAGTGTTTCGTCAAGATAATGTGAGGCCTCATACATGTTTGGTAAATCGCCAAAAGCTTTTACTGGTTGTATAAGATATACTACCACACCAGCCATATTCTCCAGATCTGGCACATTCTGATTATTATTTGTTCCTGTATACAAAATTTTTGAGACGGTAAAACCTTTACTACAAGTAAAGAGGTCAAAAATCATCAGTTTTTTGCCAGTAAAGAACAAAAATATTGAAATGATGTCAGAAAGATGATCTTAGTATTTTTCTTGTGCAATGTTCAGTATTTGTCTTAACATGCTATTTTTGCCACTCAAATCACCGCCACAACATCCACCAGATTATGAAAAGCGTTTCAGAGTTTCAGGCCGAGGATACAGCTCTAAGCAACTCTGCATATAATTTATATAATTTTTGCCCCAGCAGTTCCAGAAATCAACATTTTATTCGTAAGATAAGTCAATAGCAGTTGTTATTATTGTGCATATAATAATAAGGGGATGGCTGGTGCTTATAAATTTTTACCAGGATTATTTGGTTTGCAATGATGTTCTAATTCTTGATTAATTGAAGTTATTTACGCTAACATTGGATATCATTTGTTGATGTGGTTGTTATTTACTTTATTTGTTCGATTTCTGTAATATGTGTTACATCTTCATATGTTGCAACAAATAATTTATCAAAATCAGCTATACCAGAAATTGATGGGGCTTTGAAAAAAATTGGTCTCTGAATTACCTCTGTCAACTGAATCCTTGTAAATAAACTTTCAAGTATTCCCATTAAAAAAAAGTCACATATAGACAAATCATGGTCATCATAATAATAGTTTTTTTTTCTGTAAGTTCGCGCTTTTACGACCAGCCCCTACAGTTTGAGCAGGCTGAGGTCTTGAGAGCTTTGGGGGCGGTTAACTCTACTAGGGGGGCCTGGCGGCGACGGTCACCTCCTGTTCTCATTAAAAACTGCTGTGAATCTCTTAGTGACCCTTTAACAATATTGTACAATAGATCTTTAAGAGAGTGCGTCTTTCCGCAAATATGGAAGCGTGCTAGTATGTGCCTATATTCATGTCTGGCAGTAGAAGTTCCATCGAAAATTACGGGCCCATCTCTCTACTGCCTATATTCGGTAAAGTTCTCGAGAGCTTAATTTATAAACCAATTTTTTAAATTGTTAAGAATGTTTTAAATCAACGACAGCATGGTTTCTTGCCGGTCGCTCAGTAGAGACTAATCTTCTTGAATACACTAATTATATTTTGCATTCTTTTGATGATAACTGCCAGGTTGACTCAGTATATACTGACTTTAGCAAAGCATTTGATATGGTTAACCATCTGCTTTTATTAAGAACAAGTTGGTTTGTCCAGCAACATACAGCAGTGGCTCGCTTCCTATGTGGTTGATAGAACGCAGTGTGTCAGGATTAGAGATTTCTCTTCACAGGCGGTGGCCGTTTCGTCCAGTGACCCTCAGGGAAGCATCCTTGGTACCTTGCTCTTCAATATTTACATTAATGATATTTTTCTTCATTTTTATATGTTTGACAAATTTTATTAGCCTAAATTTTATGAAAAATTTATTAAAAAATGTGTTACCATCACATTTACAAAGAAAACTAACCCCATACGTTTTGATTACTTTATTAGAGGAGAATTGTTGCAGAGAGTCACGTTTATAAAAAATCTGGGGGTGACCTTTGATAGTAAACTTTTATTTAATGAGCACGTCGATTCGGTGGTCAACAAGGCTTCTCGCATGCTTGGATTTGTCATGAGATCAGCGACTGATTTCACTGATATCAGTTTCATAAAAACTCTCTATTTTGCGTACGTATTCAGCGTTTTAAATTATTGTTCTATCGTCTGGAATCCTAAATATGACATGTACTTGAAAAGATTAGAACTAGTCCAAAAGAGATTCCATCGACTTCTCCACAATCGATGAGTTAGGTTCGTATTCTTATTATTGAGTCTGTACTTTGAATATTATTAACTTAACGCAAAATTTCAAGGTTCCATAGTGATAACTGACAGTTAAATGCTATGAGTTAGGGAATGCAATATCATTCAACTTTTCTTTTCCTCTAACGAGAGAGTACATCTCTTCCAAAACCACNTGTTGTCTTGATTAGCTGAAGTTATCACATGAGTCTGAATTGCTTTTTTTTTATTTGTTGTATTTTGCAACATTGATTTCGCAAAAACTAAATCATTGGATGCTTTCTTGCAACTAACAATAACAATAATGAAGGTTGTTTCATTGATTGTACTATACTGTTCTACAGACTTGGATGCTTAATCGACATTTACAAAGATGTATATCTGAGTTTTAAAATCTTGCAAGCATTTTAGTTTTTGGATCTTGAATTCTTTTAAAATATCCAAAATTCGTAGCCACAGCTAATTATCAATCTGATGTACTATCTCCATTATCAGATATACAGTGTCCACCAAAAGTCAGCAACACCCGTTTCATTTCTGTTCCATTGTATCTACGTTTCTGAAATTTAGTTTATATAGGAGGTTCATACCGATCTTTCGATCTAAAGTATTTTCAAGATGGTGGCAACTTCCGGTCCCCCGGAAGTACACCACAACTTCGTTATTTTAAATAAAATGCTATAGTTTTTATTGCACCTTTTAATTATATGCGAAAAAATAAGTTGACTTTGATAAAGGTTATTGGTACCTAGCGTTTTTCGTTTTCGAGTTATATTGATTTTAAATTTTTCTTAGCAATTTTCACCATGCCCTTCTCAGCAAACGTTCATTCAAAAAAGCTCTAAATTGGCACGATTACTCTTCAAATGCTGTGAAATAGATTGTCACTTGCTGTATCACAGTATCTTATACAGGCTGGTCAAAAAGTGAATTACCTTTTTTCCGCATTCAATGGCAAGAAAGTCGAAAATTCAAGTTTCCACTGATAGTGGACTGTTTGCAAATATGTCAGAACTAACAATCTTCAATATTATACCGAACGATAAACTATAAGTAATATTATTGAAACACGACTATCGGGTGTATAATAAATCAGTGTGGTTTAACGTATCCCACCAATATTCCAAATGCGTCTTCCGAGTATAGGAATTTCATCGTAAATTTATTAGGTAACCGAGACGAGGTCTGAGATAATGCAAAATGGCCATGGTGTTAAATAAATTACTTAGATCTAAATAATTGATATTATCGAGTATAGAGTTTAATCTCGAGGTTTAAATTTAATCCATTCGTTAATAAAGTCCACAATAATTAAAATCCTCTCAAAACTTTCAAAGCAACGTCGATAAATTTGTTTTTAACGTCATTAAAATATTAATTTGTCATTTTTTTCTCTAATCCTTCCATAAAATGTCCTCCCCACGAAAGTTGTTAATAACAATCGTGCCGTTTTCTATTTTAGTGTGTTACATTACGATTCGTTTTTTAAATCTTTCATTAAAACGCAAAGAGAATGTTTTCCCCTCAATGCATACTGAAATACTCATCAGCGTCACTGAATCCGTAAAAGTGATGGATCAAACAGTTTTAACATCGGAGATGTACGAAAAAGGATTTCACATTATTCAAGACGATGTGTGTTCGAATTTTGGAAATGGTTTAAACTTATTGGTTATTATTATGACGAAATTGCACCATAAATCGAAAAGGATGGGAATAAGAAAAACTTGGGGTCATTATGCGCTTATAAACGATATTGCAATTGCTTTTCTTTTTGGTGGTGGTAAAAGTGATGGTATAAAAACCGAATTGAATATGTATTCGGATATGATTATTGAGAAAAATGTTGATAGTGAATTTAATAGGTTAATTTAATTTAATCATTTTTTATTTACTTTTCTAATAATGTTTTTTTAGATCGTTAAAATCAATATCAATGATGGAATTTGTATCAACTCATTGTCCCGATGTTAAGTACGTTTTAAAAACTAAAGATGATGTATTTATTAATATGCCATCGTTATTAAAAGTGATAGAGAAGTTAAATAATAATGTTAGTGCTCTTTATGGGCATATTCATCATCATAAACGAACGAATAGAATTAATAAATCGAAACATTATATTTCTTACAATCAATATAACGATTCTGTTTTACCCGATTATTTATCGAGTGAAACTTATTTATTTCCTGGTCATATAGCAAAAAGAATTTACGATGAATCTCTTAATCAAATTTATATTCCGGCGGAAGATATATTTTTAACCGGAATCGTTCCTCAGAAATTAGAAATTAAAAGAATTGGCAAAAGCGAGTTTATAACTCAACACCATATTAGCGAATATAAAACTCATACTTCAACGGTTAATTTTAAAACTAAGACTCCTGCAATGCAATATACTTATTGGGAAGAAATTAATATTCCTAATGATGTCAGAAACGATGAAGAATAGAAAGAAGTTGTTTTATGATTATAAAGTATGTACAATAAATTTTGAAAACTCCGAACAAACTTAAAAAGGAAACAACTTAAAAAGTTTTACTCTTATCTATTAAAAAAATGTATAAAAAAGAACTCGCTAAAAAGAACTTTCCTGAAATCTAGAAGAAATGATATTCGAAATTTAAATAAGCATTAATAATGAATGATACTTGCGCAAAAATATTTAAATAGAAACACTTAGAATTCTGACTTTATTGAAACGTAATTTCCAATTGGCAATAAACGATGGAAAAGTTTCAGTACGAAACTCGAGCGGAAAGAACAATTCTCTTATCCGGAGTTCAATATTTATCTTCCTCCGTCTATTAAACAAACAACAGTTGCAAACTACTATTGCTGAGATAAGTCTTCGTTGTCAATAAACGGAGCGTATAATAAGAGAAATCGGATGGATATAGAGCGAAATTTTTTGTAAATTCAAGTTGAACTTGAAAAGATCTATACCAGTGTTTACCGTCGCGGATAATCTCATTAATTTGAAATAAACCACGGAGTTTTGTTGATGAAAATTGCACGACATAAACTCAATATATTTCTAAAATCTATAATAATTTAATTCTTTTAAGTTAACTATGTTTAGTTTCTTGTAAAAACAAAGCAATAAAGATTGATGTTGCAATGTTGTACTTTTTCTGATATAACCCAAATTAAGATGTTTTTGATAAAATATGTCTCATTTTCAAAACTTTCAAAAGAGGCAATTTGAAAATGCAGCGAGGATTGCAACCTCATTGTATTCTAAATGATTTGATATTATGGTTGTTTTAACAACAGCTTTCATAGCTCTTCACTTGAGAAGGGCATAAATAATACTAGTTTGATAAAGAAAGTAATACGCCAGTGGTAAAACATCTGACGAAAAAGCGCTAAAACGCAAAAATTAAGCAAATACTAGAAAGACACCATATAAATAGAAAGTTTGAGCGATGCAGGAAGAGGCCATCTAGAGAAAAATCCAAGAATCCAGAAACAAATATGAAATTAACAACAAAGTTACTATCGAGATGATTTCAGAATAGTTAAAAAGAGACAAAGAAGTATTCAAAAGCAAGAAATATAAAGAAAAAAGATCTTAAGGAAATTATAGAGAGTGAAGAAAGCAGTATCACAAGAAGAGGGAATCATGTCAGAAAGAAAGAATGTAAAAATGAATCTAAAAATGTAAGAACACAGTAGTAACTAGAAGCATATCAGATGAAGGAAGAAGCTCAAACGAAGCCAGAAGGAAATAGATAGAGGAAAAAGAAGGAACCTAAAATCTAGCAAAAATGCAGAAAAATGAAAGGAATCAGAAATAATGAAACTAATACTGAAAAAGGTAGTAAAGTAGAAAACTTGAAAAATTAGAAGCTCAAACAAGGCCTAAAGAGTGAAGTTACAGATAAAACAAAAACTAGAAAATGCCAGAGAAGCTAGAAGGATATTTGGTTCTTTATTTGCTGTCTAGAATTGAAGAGCCTTATGTAAGAATTGGAAGAACAAAAAGCTAGAAAAAAAGCAGGGAGCTAGAAAAAGTAGTATCCAAGAGGCTAGAAAGAAACAAGATACAAACAAAGTAAAACCCAGAACATGTAAGATAGCCAATAGGAGGAGGACTCAAATGTAGAGGAAAACAAAGTTAAGGAAGCTATGGACAAAGACGAAAGCAGTATCAAAGCTCGTCTTAGCAGTAGAAGAAAAAGAGGTAACCCAGAAACTTGCATGATATTAGCAAGAATCCATAAAGAAAACTGGAGTCAGAAATAATAAAACTAAAACAAAGCCTGATCCAGAAAGAAAGAGGTTGAGAAAGCAGAATCTGCAAGAGGCAAGAATACGCAGAGAAAAGAGGCAGAAGAATTCACATATAAAGACGAAAGAAATCAAGAAAACTACAAGCAACACAGAATGAGAGGTAGACCAAACAAAGTATAAAGGAAAAAACTAGAAACACAGCAAATAAAAGAACAAATTCAAATAAATCCAGAAGTATAGACGAGAGTAACATATCAGAAGAAACTGCATAGAGGAAGGAGTTCGCCATCTAGCCAGAATGTGAAAAGAAAGCAGGAGTCAGAAATAATGTAACTGAAATAATGAAAAAGGCTAATAGAAGCAGAAAAGTAGAACAAGTAGAACGAACCCGAAAAGAAAGAAACTGAATACAAAGCAGAAGATAAAGGATCCTAGATTAACCAGAAAGAAGAGGAATTGGAGAATACAAATATAGAGAATGAAAGAAATCAAGAAAGATATAATTGAAACCATACAGAGGAAAAAGAAAAAAGTAAGAAATTATTAAGATTGCAGAAGGCAGACAAGAGTTAGAAACAATACATCTAAAATATTGGAAGAAAGAAAAAGTAGAAGCCTGAGCGTGGCTAGAAGAAAGAAGTTGAAACACAGCAGAATCTAGAAGATGTCAGAATAGTCAAAAAGTCAGTACCATTACTTTTGATTCCGTTTTATGCATTTCCATTCCATTCAGTTCTCATTAAGTTCCTTTTCACCTCTATAACTAACTTTAATAACCTCGTTGATAACTCTCTAATTGTTTATCATTAACCAATTTGTGGAACCTCACATGTCCAAAGCAACAGAAATAGGATCTAAATCCTTGACGTCTACATACGAAAAGATACAAAAAACTGGATCTCGTAGACGGTTACTAGGCATTCAGGTGTGGAGCAATTTCGTCAACACTTTTTAGATACAAAAAGGTGCCAAAAGGAAACTATTTAAATATTAATAAAAGCAAGAAATTTGTTTGTAGTTGAGTGGAGGAATCATATTAAAGATACAATTCTTGGAGAGCAATTAAAAAACAAATTATTTCCATTTTAAGTTCGTTATAGTATTTTATTTGAGTTGGCATCCAATTAAAACTGATCAACATCCTGGTATAAGCATCTAGAAAACTTTAATGGGACCTCCACAACTTGAAGTTTTCAGCGAGTTATTCAAATTAGAATGTATTTGAATAAAGCCGTTACAGCAATCTCATCAGATGGACATAGAGTAACATTATGCGTTATGCTTCCTCAGCATACGAATTTCTTTTACTTTATTTTTTTCTAGAATTATTAACTATTTCAAATTCATTTCATATCTCCCTGATTTTATTATTTTTGCCGCAACCTGTCTATTTAAAATACCATTTTTATGTATATCCTGAACATTTATTTTAAACAATTTTAATCTAAATTACAGCATAAATCACACTGGACATGAATTATATTGAAATTTATACACAGCAGCATTCCATTAAAAAAAAATGTAAATACTCTCGGAATAAATTTTGCATAACTTTTCCGGCCACGGGCAACAAATTTCCGTCTTCCGCGCGGATTCGCCTCTCGCAAATATTGCCCCATCAAACAGACATTAACATATTTAGCCGCAAAGTGTGTACTCGTCACCGTTGTCGAGCCGTATGTAAATCAATATTGATATTCGATTTGGTACGGAACGCGTACGACAAATCCGTTGTCGAGATTTTCTTTAGATAATATCCAAACCCGAAAGAACGGATGTTCGCGAAACTTGGATAAAGGAATGTGCCGTTGGGACGTGGAATTTTTCAATAAATACGAATCCGAACATATTTCGAGCATATTTTCAAACACGGTCTCTACTTTATTTATCGATTGGATTGAAAAATTTTATTCTTTGTTGTTTATTTGGTATTTGAATTATTTTAGAAAAAAAATTGTAGGAAAAAGCACAAAATCTTTAAAATATTTAGGTTGAAATTGCCACGGGCACCCGTATTTCATTGTAATAGGACCTATTTGCGAACCAATCGAACCGCAAAAATGTTCCGAAGCGGGGAATAACAAAATACACATTGCCTTAGAACGAAAATTATGCAGCAGGCGACTCCCCCTCGGAAATTGCGAAGTACATTAAGGAGAAACAACTTGGAAATTATATCTTTACTTTTTATTTTCTTTCCTTTTGAAATATGAAATACAGTAAATCCTCGATATTACGGATTAATACGGGTAAGAGAGTATCCATTATAGCCTAAAGACCGTTATGTGAAAAATTTTTAATTTAAGCACTTTAAACTGTTTGAATGAATAATTTTAATGCACACAAGTTCGAACAGCTATCCATACCGTTGCATTCTTTATTAGTTTGTTCTAGTTTTAGTTTAATAAAAATATGCAACAATCTAGTACTGAATAACAACTAAAACTAGAACTAAAACTAGCATTAGAACTAACAATACACCTAGAAGTAGAAATATTCGGGTTTAGCCGTCTTAAGAGACGTATGGCTAAATCCGAATGTTTCTAGTTCTAGATCTAGTGTTAGTTCTATTTTTAGTTAAACAAAAACATACAACAATCTAGCACTGAATAACAAATAAAACTAGAACTAACACTAGACCTAGAACTAGAAACATCCTCAGACGCACGGCTAAACCCAAAACTTTCTAGTTCTAGGTCTAGTGTTAGTTCTAGTTTTATTTCACTGAAAAATATACAACAATCCAGCACTGTATAATAAATAAAACTAGAACTAACATTAGCATTAGAACTAACACTAGACCTAGAACTAGAAACATTCGGGTTTAGCCGTCTTAAAAGACGTACGGCTAAAAAACTAACACTAGCATTAGAACTAATGCTAGACCTAGAACTAGAAACATTCGGGTTTAGCCGTCTTAAAAGACGTACGGCTAAACCCGAATGATTCTAGTTCTAGGTCTAGTGTTAGTTCTAGTTTTAGCTGTTATTCAATGCTAGACTGTTGTATATTTTTATTGAACTAAAAGTAGAACAAGCACTAGACCTAGAACTAGAATCATTCGGGTTTAGCCGCACGTCTCTTAAGACGGCAATCTAGTACTGAATAATATCTAAAACTAGAACTAACACTAGACCGAATGTTTCTAATTCTAGCTCTAGTGTTAGTTCTAGTTTTATTTCAATGAAAAATATAAAACAATTTAACGCTGAATAACAACTAAAACAAGAACTAACACTAGCATTAGAACTAATGCTAAACCTAGAACTAGAAACAATCGAGTTTAGCCGTCCTAAGAGATGTACGGCTAGTGTTAGTTCTACTTTTAGTTCAATAAAAATATACAATCTAGCGCTTAATAACAATATAATATACAGGGTGTTTCAGGTTTTTGTAGCAGGACTTCAACAGTCGATAGATCTTTTAAAATTAACACAAATACTTCATATAAACATAATTCGACAAACGCTTTGTTTTGGAGATACAGGGTGTTCAAATTAAATTTTTAAATTGATTTTTATCTAATATTACACGTGTATTTCAACCGATTCTTTTCAAATTTGGTATACGGAGTTTTTTTGGCATGAGAAAAACGATTATGGAGTAACGTATTCTTTACGGATTAAAATAACAATAACTTTTCTGACAGTATACTTTTTGGCTTTTTGAATAAAAGTTCTTACTCTCGGTACTTTTTTAAGCAAAAACGGCACTCTTATCAAAATGCAGTAAAGTTGATCGTTTTCAAGATAATCCGCTTTATCTTATTCGATACAGACCAATTTTTTTAGAGGATTGTTAAGATAGGTATAATAATGTTTGCCATTGAAACAAAATAGGTAAGTTCACTGATGTTTTTGTTTATTGTATCAAGTGTCAAATCACCAGTAGTTGTTGATCAGTGTTAAATTAAACTCAGCAGAAGTAGTCCTAGAGTATAGGAGAAGATATCCGCATCCTTCTGTGTTTGTGAAAGTGCATAGACAAATAGTTGAATAAGGGCTTAATAATGACGGATAGATCGTAATAATGACTATGTTAGACTTGAAAGAAACTTTAGAAGAATAATTTTGCTTGAGTTCGATAGAGACTCCACTACGAATGTTAGAAGAGTTTCGAATGCCTTATGAATTTCTAGGGCGCGTGTTTATCGCCTTTTAAAACATGATCATAGACGTGTTTATCATTTACAAACCTTGCAAGGATTGAAGACGATGGCGTGTAACGTTTTGTCGGTGGATTGCTAAAGCATCAGCCAACAATAGAAATTTTTTATAATCGTGTTTCACAAGATGTGGGCTTGCAAACTTTCACAATTTACATATTTTGGTATCCCTACGCAATTGGGCCACGAAAGTTCCAACATGAATGTAGTGTCAACGTCTGGGTAGGTGTTTATAATAATCATCTTTTCGGGCCATACTTTTTGCCACCACAACTAACCGCTGCGGTGTTCTTGTAATTTTTGGGAGCTGAACATGCCAATATGTGGAATGACATTGATTAGCTTTAAGAAGAAGAGAGGCCTGGTTTCAACTTGATGATTGTGCAGCTTATCACGGTAGGGTGGTAGGAAATTGGCTAGACAACCATTTTCCTGCAAAATGGATTGGTGGAGGCGGACCAGTCGCATGGCCCCACGATCTGCAGATCTTAATGACTTTTTTGTGTGGAAATATTTGAAAGGGAAATTGTATGAGGCATCTGTTCCCACAAGGAATGAACTTTTAATAGGATTAGGAATGCTTGTAATGACATAAGGCCGCTCTGAAATACCATTACTGGATCAGTAATTCGTCGGTCAGAATGAAGCAAGCAAAATTATTTACATGTTCAACAATTTCGTTACTTTTTTTCTTTTATAATTTAGATTAAAAAACATTAATAAACTAAAACATTAGTTAATTTAGCTACTTTGTTGCCATGGCACACATTATTTTAACTATCCTCTAAGAAACATTGGTCTGTATCGAATAATAAAAAGCGGATTATCTTGAAAACGATAAACTTTAGCGCATTTTAAACGTTACCTGGACCACCCTGTATAATAACAATTAAAAGTAGAACTACCGTCCGTGATTTATACATCGTATAGACTACTCGGGGAATACCCCGAATGTATCTATGAACATTAAATAGAGCATCTTGGGGAATACCCTGAGTTGGATTGTATCTATGAGCGCTAACATTTATATTTAATATGAGGTTTACTGTCTTTAAGAAAAAAAGATGTTCAAAGATACAAATATTCATAAAAATCCTTTTTATGGTATTTAACTATTTTCGACTTTGATCGATTGTCTTTACCTTCATTCTTATTTGGTTAAGCGATAATTTTTTTTTGCAGAGGTTGAAACTGTAATGACGTTGAAAGGTTGTTCGGCGTCAATCCGAGTTTCGTTCGCCCTATCAATTTCTCATCTCCTCCTGTTCGAAAAGCAGGAGAATTACATTCTGGTTCGATCTCGATGTCGAGAAACAAACCGGAAAAACCGAACAGAATGACGCCTGCTTGTGAGTGACGAGAGAGAACGGGAACAAAAGTTTCCCCTAGATAACAATTACTGGTTACATCACTTCTAAGTTTCTCAACCGTAATTTTCGGGATCGAATCGATATTATTTTTATCAAAAACGAACTTATGATTAATGTCTATTTTAATAATAGAGTCCATTAAAATAAGTTCATAAATTGTATGATTAATATTCGAGTTGATAGCTGAATTATTTTGGATTCTGTTTCAATTTTATAGTTTATATACCAAATCCATTCAGTTCGTGTTATGTATGGTTGAGGTGATCTGCATGGTTTAGCGAGTCCATTCGTTAAAGTTATAGTACTCATATGTAGTTGTCGCTATTGAATCATATTTATATGCAGTTCGCGTTCAGCTGGTACCATTTGCACGATTAAGGGAGACATATTTCAGTATTATTCAGTATATGGGGACATGACATAAATTATCATACAGTTTTCAAAGTATCTACATTTTACACTTTAGAAACTTTGAAATATATTTTTGAGATAAAATTTAAATATGATTTCTCATCCTCTTTAAGAATGATCTTATCTTACTCTTTTCAAATCAATTTGCGGGTAAAGTTCTAGGACACACCCAAGTAAACTCACCCTGATTGCACCTGATGATCGATATCCGGCCAAGAGAGTCGACGACTGCAAAAGGAGTGCGATGGTCTTTCAGGGGTCGTCTTCGGTGTTCGTTGCCTGAACGATCCTGGTCTTCTTATGGGTGGGGCTGGAACGAGGCACTCCAAAGTTCGTCTACGGTTTTGGACCATAGCGCTAGCTCCGGGTGCGGGTAACACTTTTGGAAATCCTGGTGTGTTACTGTCTCCGGATCCGCTCCGTAAGCTGCCACCAACTGAAGAGGGTGTCGCTGGGGGAACATTTTCAGCCGTGTCAGTTCTACTCAACGAAAATCTGCAACAAGTATAACATTTTTAGTCGTTAGAAGTGGAGTTTTGCGAGAAATTACTAAATTGGAGTAAATCATTGTATAGATTTTTTTTTGATTCAATCCGGAAAATTTTATTAATGATAGTCCGCCAAAAACTAGCAATTTTTCGAACAAACGTACGTCAATCATTATTTCCGTTTAATCTACGTGCGGAAGTGAAAATGGTGCTCGTTTATGGGTCCGCTATATTAATCACGATTCGAACAACATTTCTAGTTCGTAGAGAGGTTTTTATTGAAACAAAATAACTCAAAACAGCCAATAAAAATTTCACATTACGACTTCCAAACTAATATAAATTAAAATTTTTAAAACATTTTTTTTAATATTTTATTTATTTTTACATTCTAGTAAAATTTATCCGATGCGATGTAACAAATGCATACGGCGAAATTAAAATATTTATTATGCGACGAAATAAACAAACACGGGAAATGTACGGGCCAAAAACAAACAGAAATCCGAAAAACAAAAAAAACACGGTTTAAATAAACGTTTACAGTCATTCGAAAACTCCGGAATTCAATAATTGTACGGTTTAAACGATTCGGAGCAATTAAAACCGCAATCGCGTTGAATTGGAGTGCAGACATTGAATTTTCTTTTTTTTGCCGTTTTTGTTATAAAAGAAAGGAAATTCTCAATTTTATTTATGGCTGTTTTAAATTTGAATTGCAGGTAATATCTTAAATGGAACTCTTGAAAGTCTTGGAATTGAAAAGATTAATTAAGGGTTCGTTATTGTTATGGTAAGTGTTATTGCAGTCAGTGTTCATTCAAAGTGAGATTTTTTGATTAAAAGGAAAATTAAATTTAAAGAGAGCTTTTATCGTTCTTAATTCATGACTGATGTACTTTTAGTAGAGATAAAAATAAAATATTATACATTAAATAATTACACATATAGTTTCTTCCATTATAAAGTAATTTCAGTATTGCGTGCTATATGGTTTTGTACATTAACATTTAATGTACCTTTATACTTGACCTTTGGGTAGACCTTATAGTCGATCATTAATATATCATAATTATATCACCATTTTTAGATGTTCCTTTGTATTAATAGATAAATTAAATTCTTTAATTTGAGTGTTAATTAATATTTCCAACTTCAAAATCGCGTTGATACTCATTTTTGACTTGCAAGAAGAACAGATTTAAACAATACAGTGGTTGTTTATATCCATATATGAATTTCCTAGAATCCCATGTTGTCAAATGTGATGTTTTTCTTTCGGAGACGACGTTAAGCCGTCGGTCTGGGTAAATTGTACATCTGGGTCAGTTGTACATCTGGTCTCGTTAGTACTCTTTTTTCCTAGAAAGGGAGTTAACCGCCATACATCAAAACACTACACCACAACACATTGTTACGTGACCTCTAAAGATTTCTAGAGGAGGTCAAGACCAAAAGTTGGGTTGTAGCGTCAATGGTGGTGATGATGGCGATGTGCATGAATTGGATTTGCCTCTTGCAATGTTTGTTTTCCAGTTAATTTCACTTAACATGCAATATACAACTTGTCAACATAATTTGACATTACAGTAAAACCTCGTTATAAAGGATTAATACGGGGAAGACAGTGTCCGTTATAGGTCAATAAAAATATACAATAATCTAGTGCTGAATAACAAATAAAACTAGACTAACACTAGCACTAAAACTAACACTAGACCTAGAACTAGAAACATTCCGGTTTAGCCGTGCATCTCTTAAGAAAGCCGAAAACTCAGAGTTGTCATAAGGACGTCACCTTTTTCCAAGCAAAACTTTTCCTTTACAAAACTACCCAATGCCTGTACAATTAAGCTATGTTTCATGTTATGTGGGACAGTGCAAGTGCACAGTAGTTTCGTAACTATAGTTGCTGCATTCATATATTGCAAGTTATATGAAATTCCCGGTATATTGGAGAATGCTAGAACTTTCAGTTTCAAAAAGCCATATCTCATTTTGAAGTATTAACATACGAATTATTCAATAACTGTCATAGAATTCTACATCAAAACAGTAGTATGTATAAAAGTGGTTTACAACTTTTATACATACGTTGATGGAAAAACTCCTGGTTTCATCATTATGTGCTTTATCTATTTTTGTCTCATAGCTTTACCTCATCTTTCTTATGAATTCCGCAACATTTTTTAATACTATTGCTTCATCACAAGTTGCAGCTCGAAGAAGAGAATCGTTGATTCATTGATTAAACTTTTTATTGTTGTCATCACCTCCAGGTCATAAATTTGATACGTCTAATAAATGCGGTGCAACAAACTCTTCTTCAGATTTGTATTAATGTTTTGACACCATCCCCACCAAAACCATTATTTCTAAAAACTCTTCTTCTCCAGCATCGCAAAGTTATTAAACATCATCACCACCAATTTCTAAGAGTGTATCCTAACAATATAAAAGTCAGTGGTCAACACTTTGCAGCGCTGATGTTACAAACGACGTCAGCTGTTCGTAGGGCGGAGAACCTGTGATATCGCCTGATTAAGCCGAGCCTTTACAATTAATATCATATTAACCCAAAACTTGTCAAAACATTAAGCCACGACTAAACTAAGAGTATAGAATTTATTTATGATTTTGCCTTATTAAAGCGAGGTCGCTTGCGGACGAGGCTTTACAATAAATATTAATACATTAAAAACTCTTCAACAGATTGAAACAGCTCGGCCGCAAGCAGTTTCTGGAAAGCTAGGAGTGCGGAGAGTTTAGTAAAGATGCCTACATGAATTTTTGAAGGTAAATTCCTTAATCATATATTAATTTTTGATTTTGAAGTTATATAGTTGTCCTCCATAGCATATCATACCCTAGGATGACTCACAAGAATTAACTTTGAGTCTTTTTGGGTATGGTTATTGCAAAATTTGTTATTCAGATAAAGTTTAAGATCTAATAGGAACACATTATGAGAGTAACATATGACAGAACGACTGTTAGTTGCATGAAAGATTTATTATGAAAGATATAACGTGTGTAAGTGTTACGATTAAACGAGTTCTTTCAAAAGCATAAAATAGTTAAGGTTCGCTCTTATTTTCTCCTATAAAACAGATATGGCGGAATGATCGAAATGGAAACTTGAGCATGCGTTAAAAAAATAATAAAGCAGCAAGCAAACATGTTGAACTATATCAACAAAACAACCGTTTATGTTAACAATTGTGCCACATTTTTATTTTTTAATAAAAAATAATTGAAAATGAGGAAAGTGACTTACAATATACCCGCCAACTGTATATATTATTATTTATTATTTTACCTACAAAATAAATAAACACGCGACGTCTAGTCTATATTGAACACGCACCAACATCATCTTTTCCGATTGAATGGAATGCTCCTCTCCCCGAATGACTTATTTCATAACAAGAGCGAATATCTTTAAATCCTCTAGCTAATGCTTTAAAGGTATACGTCAACTTTTGAAAAAGTAATAGTATTAAAAATGTTGCAGAATTCATAAGAAAAATGGGATGAGAGTATGACCCAAAAATAGATAAAGCACATAATGATTAAACGTCCAGGAGTTTTTCATCAACGTAATATATATAAAAGTGGTTTACATTGTTTGAACATTGTGTATGTTAATACTTCAAAATGAGAGAGGCTCTTTTTTGAAACTCAAAGTTCTAGCATTCCCTAATATATCAGGAATTTCATATTAAAGCATTAGCTAGAGGATTTAGAGATATTCGCTCTTGTTATGAAATAAGACATTCGGGGAGAGGAGCATTCCGTCCAATCGGAAAAGATGGATGCTGGTGCGTATTCAATATAGACTGGACGTCGCGTCTTAATTTATTTTGTAGGTAAAATAATAATATGTATACAATTCGTGTCAAGAGTACCCACCTCATGTCTAATTTGAAAACGATCGAAATTACTTAAAACACGCCGATTTATATTTTTTATTAGTTTAAATATTTTAACATAAAAAATATATATCACGGGAACTTATAGATCTTTTGATTAATTAAGCCTAGGTCGATTGCGGCCGAGTCTCAGTAATTAAGATAATATCAACATGAAACTGGTTATCATATCGGAGCACCTCAGTCGCAAGTGGCCTCGACTTCATCAGATAAAGTTGCCTCGGCCGCAAGCAAGCTCGGCTTAACTATCAGAAAGAAAGTATGATTTCTGATAGTTAATCCGCAGGGGGACTAATACCTACTGCGGCGCGAAATCTTACTTTTTCATGATAGTTTAATCACGAGGTTCCATGCGCCCAAGACTTACTATATGTGTTATCATTTTTATCTCAATAACCATTTCAATCGAACGTTGTACGCTGAATCCAAGTTCATATTGCTTTAAGTCATTAAGGTTGCCCATTAATGATAATGATTATAAATCAACACATACGACCCTACATTCTTAACCTGGATGATTCACATTTTGAAAGAAAACTAGCCTTACTCAAAATTTTTTTACGGTATAATTGGCATATCTAAAGAAAACTAACCTTACCCAATATATTTGCTCCTTTTTATGTTATAATTTGCGTAATACCATATGAAACTAAACGGAATACAATAAGTAAAAATTAAATAAGTTCCTCATTAAGAATACATCAGGCTACCACCTGTACAAAATTAAAATTGTTTAATTAATAGAATATAGTAAGTAGAATTAAAAGTCGTTTAAATATATTGGAAGTCAAAAGATCTTTAATAAATAAAAAGAACTATTAGTTTTTTAACCCGTAAATGGAAAATATTTAGAAATACAATCCTTTGATGTTCACAAAAGAAAATTAAAACTTTCAACTTGTACAAAGAGAAATATAAGTACATATTTGGGTTATATGCAAAAGTTAAAAGGAAAGTATTGATTTTTCCTTTGTAAATTTTCAACATCACCTATTCATCTCCGCTGGGATATTTAGATTATAACGAATTGGCAAAACAAATATTAAAAATAATGAAACCTCTCCACTAACGTATG